GGTGGGGCTGCATTCTGGGCCCGTTAGCTCAGCGGTCCCGGAGGCTCCGGGGGACTGACTCATCGCACTTCGGGCTCACCCCACAGCGGTCACACAAACAAGACTGGCCACCAACTCGAGCATCCTCACGGCTCCCACGCACAGCATCCCATGCCTCACCTCCGTCCACCCGCGAGACACGTCACACACCGACAGCCCAGTGTCACACCATCGGTGCACATGGGAATCCTTCACATGAGCCTTGACTTCACCACACACTCGGCACACTTCACACCACGCACTCCACGCGCGGGAAAGCTTTGCCTGAGCAGGCCGCTCCACTCACACGCAGCCTCCCGCGGACACGTACCTCCCTCCACTCACCAGCCCCCTTCCTGCAGCTGCGAGGCCGCCCCCTTTCCCTGCCGTGCAAACAAGCGACTTTTTCTCCCGGCCCTGACGAAGAAAGGCCGCTTGTCCCGGTCCGGGCGGGCGGGGCAGCCACAGCAGGCTGCCCAACACTGCAGCCTTGTCCCACCCGGTGGCCCGGGGAGGGGCAGGCCTCTGTGCGGTGCACCTTTGCAGCGTCTCTCCCCAATACTCCTCACTCCATCTACTCTTTCTTCCTAGCTGTCGTCTCCGTCCCGGGTTGTCCAAGTCTCTCCCGCTTTTGGGGCTTCCTCTTTTCCCACCTGCCCCACAGTTTTCCCCTTCAAGATGCTCTGAAGCGCCTAGTTCTTCCTCTGCCACCTCTTCTACTTATGGACCACATCCTTAATCAAACACACACACACACACACACACAAACGCATGCGCGTGCTTCTGAGGGGTCTCTGGGCCTCCCCCACAGTCTCCTCTGAGCTCACTGCTTCGTCCCCAGCATTATTTTTCGAGATAAGGTCTCATGTAGCCCAGGCCTAGACTGCCCTTGAATGGCTGCTATTCCTGTGGTCACATCCAGAGTATTGCGAACTGGGTTTACAGGCTTGTACCACCCGGCTCTCCTAGCCAGCTTTCGGTTTTTCCTCCTCTCCTGGCTCATTGATTTCACACTTCAAATCCCTGCACCTCTTTGTTTCCCTTTTTTCCCTCTGCCTATTTTTCTTATTTCTAATTTCTTCTCTACATGCCTAGTCCGTGGATAATCTTGCCCCACCTCTCCTGGGCAACCTGCCCGCCCAGCCTCAGTTTCCTTCCTGTCGTGGTTCCTTCCTCTGCGGGTGGCCCTTCCTCTAGGGCGGTCGTGAGCAGGGAAGATGAAAGTCACTATGACCTTTAAAGGCCTTGGCCTACAGTTACGCAGTGACCATTGCATTTCACCGGCTGGCCCTGTGGGACCCAGATGAGGGCAGGGGGTCTGGCCTTTTGCTTAAAGGCTTTGGACCTTTCATCTTGGGACTCCGGAGCCCAGGGCGGAGCTGTTGACTCTCTCCAGGACTCCCTTTCCCGTTATTCAAGTGCCAAGGCCTGCGTACAGGTGTCAGTGTTGTTGGCTGTTGGCACATTGGGGATGGGATCCGGGTTACCTATGGGAGTCCCCAGCCCTGGTTCTCTAGTGCATCTTTCCCTAAGTTTATGATAGCCACACAGCCTGGCCCCTGTTGCCTTACTGGCTAGGAGGCGCTAGGGCATCTGCATGTGGATGCAGGAGGGTTGCAGAAAAGCAGGCCTGTTCCTCAGCAGTGGAAACCACACCACAAAAGGGCTTTTTCTTTTTCCTTTCCTTTCCTTTCCTTTCCTTTCCTTTCCTTTCCTTTCCTTTCCTTTCCTTTCCTTTCCTTTCCTTTCCTTTCTTTCCTTTTTTTTGGTGCCTAGGCACAGCTGAGTTTTTAAGAAATGCCCTACAGAGTGGGTAATTACAGCTCTAGGTATAGATAGCCTTCCTGTGGGACCATAACGAATTAGTCAGAGGAGGGTGTCAGGGGACAGCACTGCTTCTTCAAGGGACAAGGGATTAAGGTCATAGAAGAGGGCTCCTGGGCCAGGTGGTGGTGGCGGCGCACGCCTTTAATCGCAGCACTCCGTAGGCAGAGGCAGGTGGATCTTTGTGAGTTCGAGGCCAGCCTGGTCTACAAGAGCTAGTTTCGGGACAGGCTCCAAAGCTACAGAGAAACCCTGTCTCGAAAAACAAAAAAAAAAAAAAAAAAAAAAAAAAAGAAGGGCTCCTGTCATGCACTTTTCTTTCCCGATGTCAAGGCACTTTCTGAGCCTGGGTCAGGTTGGTCTGGTGTCTTTTTCCTGTGCTGTGGGTTAGGTTTCTGAGCTGAAGCCATAGCCTGGCACTTTCCAATTGCTGTGTGGTTTCTTATCTTCTCTCTACACCTCTCTTTATCTCTCCCTCTCATTTCAACCTCTTATTCCCTTCTCACTTCTCCTTGAGCCGCTCTTATTCCCTCCCTAACCTAATTCCTTTGCAATCTTTATCTCCAGCTGAGTTTATTCGGTGTAAATAAGTAAGTGCTTCGCAGGGTGATAGTAACAGGTACTCCAGTGTGACAGATGAGGAAACTGAGGCCCAGACCTGTGTGCCTTCCACAGCTAATCATAGCTGCTGTTTTTAGATCGCTCTGTAGTTCGAGTGTGATTTAGTATACTGCTTGGATCTTCAGATAATCTTTAATTTTTAAAGCAATTTAAACTTGTGTTTTATATGTATGCTGCTTTGCTTGCATGTATGTCTGTGCCTCAGGTATGTGTCTGAAGCTCATGGAGGCCAGAAGAGGGCATGGGATCCTTGGAACTGGAGTTGCCAACAGTTGTGGGCTACCATGTAGATGCTGGGAATGAAACTCTCGTCTTTTGGGAAAGCAACAGGTGCTCTTAGCCAAAGAGCTATTTCTCCAGCTCCCAATCTCTTCTCACAGCTTTTCTCTAGGAATAATCTGTGGAGCACAAAATCAACCCAACCGATGTGTGCAATTATTCTTAGTTTATTTACAGAGCTACACAACCATCACTGAATCTTAAGTTTTAGGACTTTCCTGGTACAGACTGAGAAGATGTCTTAGCCAGTGACAATGGCTGCTGCTCAGACATGCAGACCTAAACTCAAATTCCCAGTACCAGCGCCTGTAACTCCAGAGCTGGGAGCACAGGAAGGCAGAAGGATTGCCAGGGTTTGATGGCCACCAGCCCAGTTCAGATTCAGTGAGATAGCCCGACTTGGGGGAATAACTCAGAGACTCAGCACAGACCTGAAGTCTTCCTCTGGCCTCTGCACACATGTTCCTAGACACACATGTGCACACATTACATCCCATTCACACACAGAAAGAACATTTCTTTTGCACACAGCACCTCAAAAATCTTGTGCCTATTCAGTGTATCTCTTTTCTACTCCTAGCCCCAGGCAAGTACTGTTCTGGACAAGCCCTGTTCTGGCTAGTTTTTCTTTAATTATTGTCATTATTCTGGTTTTATAGAAGATTGATTTGACAATGAGAGGCGATTAATGACTTACCCAATCCAGGAGTGTTGACTTACCTGACTGGTGTAAACCCAGCAATTGGGAGGGAAAAACAGGAGTTCTAGACCAGCCTGGCTGCATAATAAGTTCTAGGTCAGCTACAGACCGAGACCCTGTCCCAACTAACAAGCATCAACAAAAACCATCCCAGGGTCCTGGGGTTAATAGCTCATTTGATAGAATGTTTGCCAAGCATACAAAAAGCCCTGGAGATAGCTGATGGTGGCACATGCCTTTAATCTCGAAAGAGAGAAAGACAGAAGGATGGACAGACCTATAGCGTTCTGTCTTCAGAAACTCGCCTGTAGTCAGCGCTTCTGCAGGGCAGCCAGGCCAGTGTGGGGTTTTGTGTGTTAGTGACCTCTGCCTTCTCTCTTCCCAGGCAGTCCTGGGTTGGGTCCCAGGCACTGTTCCTGCCTCTTTTTTTTGCCAACTTGGGTGGAAATGGTGACAGAGATGATGAAGGCCAGGCCAGGAAGGGTGGAAGTGGGAAGGGTAAATTTAGTAACTAACTCCTTGGCTGAGGGCCTGAGAGACCCACTGCCAGGAGCAGACGCTCCTTGGAATGTAGGCTCCGCCTCTGCTTCCTTTGCAAGTCACCTGTCTGGTAGCTGGAAGAGAAAGTGGAAGGAAACACTGATGAGTTGGCAACGTGTGCGCATGCAGAGGTCAGATACCAAAAGCATAGACCTGGGGACCAGGAATGGGCAATGGTGGTCGAAGGCCTGGATGTCAAGGTTACATAGTTCTAATAGCTGCCATTTCCAGAATGCTTTGCACCTCCCAGGGTGCGACTTAGTCTACTACTTGGTCTTCAAACACTTTATAGAAAAGTAACAACAGATCTATCGAGGGGTAATAGAGAGGCAGGGGATTCAAGTTTGGGCTCTGGAATCTGCTTTTGGTTCCTCTAACACGAAGCCCTTGAAGAGCCCCAGCGTCTTCCTCTCCCAATATTGAGATTTTATAGCTGGTGATTTTAGGAGAGGTAGCTTTCTATGAAAGAAAAAGGGCAGGGGCTGAGACGTACAGACACGACAGGAATACCGGGTTTGCCTTATCTGTCTCCTTTAAGGAAACATCCTATTGAGACCCTTGGGAAAAGAGACAAAAGGAAAAGAGGAAGAGGAAAGGCTGGAGGAGGGGTTGCACTCAGCTCAGCCCTGGTACCCACCTGGCTGGTCTCTGGCTGTCATTGTCCTTAGAGGGGCTTCCCTGGACTTTGTTCTTCTCTTGGTTGGCCCTACCTGCTCTGTTTAAGACTCCAGATGACTGGGGGGTGGGGGTAGGGTAGGTGTCCTCTGCTGCTGAGTCCGGGATCTGGGGAGTGTAGAGCAAGAATACAGCAGAAATGTGAGTTAGAGTTCTAGGGTTCTTTGTGCTTGTGGTGGCAAGGATCAGGTCTGGCGCGGTGTAGTGCCCATGCTGTCGCTGGGAGCTGAATGGAGGCAGAGGTGTGTGTCGCCTCTGTTCCTCCCACCCCGAAGCTCCTTAGTTTTCTCCACCTTTCCTGTGTGTGCACTGGGGATCGCAGCAGCTTGTGCTTACTTTATTCTGAGAACCCTGTCCCAGAACCCATTTCTCTCCCTTTTCTTCCCTGACCTTCCCACTTACCTGCTTTTTGTTGTGTTCCCAGGAGCTCTGCAACCCCGGGACCATGGATACTCTAAATAGGAGCCAGCTAGGCCCTGCGTGCAAGTCCCAGGCTGTGGTGCAGGTAAGTGGACCTGGGACTGTGGGGTAAGAGGGCTGCTAGTGAGAGTGGGTTCAGAGCTTTTCTTTTTTAAGTTTTATTTTTATTTTAAATTATGTTTATTGTGTGTGGTGGGTATGTGTGTATGAAGCGCAGGTACCCAAGGAGATCAGGGAACTCAGATAACTCTGGGCCTGGAATTATAGGGACTTGTTAGCCCTCTGATATGGATGTTAGGAATTGAACTTGGATCCTCTGCAAGAGTAGAACACACTGTTAACCCACGGAATCATTTCTCCAGTCCTGGGTTCATCTCCTTCACCCGTGTCCAGGTTCGCAGATGAGAGCAGAAGGATTTTGCCTGTTGTCCATCTGTCCGTCCCTAGTTGCAAGCCTGTCACTAGCTCATTTGAGTCAGGTTAATTGGTTCAGCCTGACCTGAACCGCCTCTGTGAAAGTCTGAAATCGGTTTACAGACTCCCTCTGGCAGGATCGCTCAACTGATTTGTGTCTCCACAGCCATAGGGCCGGGACAAACCTGCTAGATTGGCTCTCCTCTACTCACCCCTTCCCACTAGGTACCGTGCTCCCTCCTTGTTTCTGTTTTAATAAACAAAGGAGTAATTGAGCGTAGGTTTGAGATAAATCCAGCGGGGAGAGCTAGTGGTCCAGATTCAGATGTAAGTAGAATTGGGTGCAGTAATGCTCCACATAAGACCTTTGTGCTAAGACTTTCAGCAACCTCAGAGCTTTTTGGAGAAGGCCAAGTGTTGGTGTGACTGGGAGTAGGGTGCTCAGGTCCCAGCCTGGAGTCTTTAAACCTAACTTTCCATTCAATTTGCCTGCAGAAAGGTCCACTGGACCTGATTGAGACAGGGAAAGGACTGAAAGTGCAGACGGACAAACCGCATCTGGTGAGCCTGGGCAGCGGTAGGCTCAGCACAGCTATCACGCTCCTGCCGCTGGAGGAAGGTGAGCATGGTACCTGCCCTGTCCGTCACCCAATGCATTCCTGCCCCAGAGGCTGTCGTGTGGGGTCCCTTCTGCCTTGTGCAAGCCATGTTTGCCTCGTCTCTGCCTCCTTGACTGCCTTCTTTGGCAAATAAACTGACTCCATGGCTGGGGTTAAAGATCAGTTTAGAATCAAGGAAGAGTAGAGGGAGAAAGAAGGAAGTGCATTGCTCTTAGTAATCTATGGGAATCAAGAAATGAGCCGCTGCCACCCCTTACTCCAGGATGATGCCTGGTGTAGGAAAGGGCTGTGTGGAACGTGAAAAGATGGGAGCCAAGGACACATACCCTAAGAGGAGACCCTGGCATGGCTTTTGCCTGCCCTTCTCCCTTCCTGGCTGCACCTGTTGCCTGGGTGATACTGGATTCCCCACATTCTCCAAATGCCAGTCTCAGGGGCTCTACCAGGGAGGGATGGAGGGGAGAGGCTGCACTGGTTGGCAAGAAAGGACTGGAGAGAGGAAGGGAGGGGGGAGGTTGCTGGTAACAGAAGGACTTGAGAGAGAAGGGCATTTCTAAGAAGATAGGGGAGTAGGGGGCGGAGGAAAAGGAGGAAGCCAGTGGGACATTCGGGTAACAGAGGAGGTTCCCTCTCTGTTGCCGGGGTGTCTGGGTTCTGTGGCCTCTCTGGGTCATCCCACCCAGACAGAGTTTTTGCTGCTTGGGAGAAGGTTCTACCACTTGCTGGCTCCAGTGAAGACTACGGGTGGCCAGAACAGGGCAGTCAGAACATAAGTAGGAGCTAGAGAGATATTTGCACAGTAGCCCCCTTGCTCTCTGCTTGACTTCTTAACCTGGATGACCATTCTGACTCAGTTTGCCTCTTGTCTCCAGGGAGGACAGTGATTGGTTCCGCAGCCAGGGATATCTCACTCCAGGGTCCAGGCCTGGCTCCAGAACACTGCTACATCGAGAATCTGAGGGGTACTCTCACCCTGTACCCCTGTGGCAATGCCTGCACAATTGATGGGCTCCCTGTTCGGCAGCCTACCCGGCTCACTCAGGGTAAGGTTTGGTATCTCCACACCAGTAAGCTCGTGCACGTTAGATTATGGGGGAGCCTGCTGCCCCAGTTCCCTTGTCAGCTGGATGAATGGCTGTACGGGGTGGGGTGGGGGAGCCTGCTGCCGTGGTCCCTTGTCAGCTGGATGGATGGCTGTACGCAGGTTCAGTGTCGATGTCTGAACATCTTGAAAATCACCCTCCCCCACCCACCCCAGCTTCCAGACTTTGCGCTCGCTCTCTCTCTCTCGCTCTCTCTCTCTCTCTCTCTCTCTCTCTCTCACTTTTCACACACCACATGGAGAGAAGAGGTTTTAATTCCTGCTGTCTGAGTCCTGTGTATAGTGTGGCTTTTTGTGGTTGTAGTGGGAGAACGGGTGGAACAGTACTGAGGAAGGCTCAGAGGTGTTCTGTGATGTCCAGAGAGAGTTGTTTTCTGCTTTAGAGGATGAAATCTCCTGAGGGGATGGGGCAAGGGCAGAATCTGATGGAACAATCTGAGGACATGCCTCTTCCTGCTACACAGTGGCTTAGGGTTATGGATGTGGCTACTCTTTTGTTTCCTACGGCTCCAGGCTGCGCGGTTGGGAAGGGAGGCCCTGGTGTGTAAAGTCCCCTAATTGCCATGGTTACCAGGCAGGTAAGGACTGGCTAGGTGGTACTTTGAATAGGCCAGATATGTTCACCTTGGAAATAGGCACTAAGCACCATTAGTTCATTTACGAGCCTTTCTTTTCTTTTCTTTCTTTCTTTCTTTCTCTCTCTTTCTCTCTTCCTTTCTTTCTTTCTTTTTTCAGTTTTTCAGGACATGGTTTCTCTGTGTATCCCTGACTGTCCTAGAACTTACTTTATAGACCAGGATGGCCTCGAACTCACAGAGATGTACCTGCCCCTGCCTCCTGTGTGCTGGAATTAAAGGTGTGAGCCACCATGCCCAGACATTTGTGAGTCTTTTAATTAAGGGATTGAAAAAAAGAAGATCTGGCCAGGTGTGATGGCACACACCTTTAATCCCAGCACTCCAGAGGCAGAAGCAGGAGGATCTCTGTGAGTCAAATTCATTTAAGGATGGAAGCTTTGGGCGAGCCTGACTCTAAGCAGAAGCCCATTGGCTGGAAGCCCCTTTGCTTCAGTCCACTGTCTCCCAAGCTCCGTGGGGGTCATAAGTGCCACTTCCCTCACCTCTACCATAGGAATTAACCATGTTCCACTTACCCCTTCTGCTCCGAGCGTATGGCAGATCATGGATAACATGTTTCAAGGAGGCAGGTCCCACAGCACCTGAGGGCATACCTGCCTTCTCCTGGGACTTGGGGTCTCTGAGTGGGAGGAGTCCTCCCAAGCTGGGTCTTTGGCTGTGATGGTGTCTGGTCCCTGGCTGTCCTGTTGAGGATCAGGGAGAGCATCTGCTCCAGAGTTCAGGGATATGTAGGTGAGACACAGAGCAGCAGAGGAAGAGTCCCTATTTTGTATGCCCCAATGCCATTATCTCCCCAGAGTAAAAGCATTCTTGCCCTGTGGATAGTGACTGAGCTGGAAGCATCGATGCTGTGTTCTGTCTTCCTAGGGCATCATTTAGCTCTCAAGAAGAGCGAGGGTCTGAGGCCACAACAGGATTCTTAAATATTTCCTGTGGCCCTAGTGACCCCACTTTCCCGAGGCCAGAAGCCCATCTTGCCAAGTATGCACCCTCCTACTCTCTTCTGACCCTAAACTCCCTTTGCCACCCCCCAACCCAGTCTTTTTGTCTGGGCTCGCCCGTTTCTGAAGCCTGGCAGGGTAGGCAGAGGCACAAAGGAATGGGTGTTCTTCCTCACCCCCACCCCCCTTGGCTTCCAGGAGCTGAGGGTTTCCTTGTCTCATCTCTGGAGCAAGGCACCAAGCCCAGCCCTGCCTGGCCCCAGTCCGGACATTCTTGGGAGTGCGTTTCCTTGGATACTGGGTGGTGCGGGGGTGCATGTGCTATCTCTGTGTGTCTATGTAACTGGACTTTGTTTATGAATCTCCGGATATGTTTGTGTCTCCGAGGCTTGTGTATTTTGGTGTTTATTTGTGTCTTTCCTTGTGTTTACAGACCAATGTAGTCAAATGGGTGGTGGGCGAACTTAGAACTGATGGCACCAAAATGTCTATGTGTGTTTTTCTGTGTTGTATATGAGAACTCCGTGGCATGTCATATGTGCCAGAGGATCACATAGGGCTGGGGGTGTGGCTCAGTAGTAGAATACTTACCTAGCAGCACAAGGCCCTAGATTCAGCATGCATGTACACACACACACACACACACACACACAGACAGACAGACAAACACACACACTCTTTTCCTGGCATATTGTCTGCTCTGGGCTTATACAGGGGATCCTCTTTGAGAGGTAAAAGGATATCTTGGGAATAACAGGACACTTTCTTTGGTTGGACCAGGCCTTAGAATAAGCACCATTCTGGGCATTATGCCCAGTCATAGGCAACTTGGAATGCTACGCTTCATGGCAAGCAGAGATGGCAGTGACGGGTTCTTCTAGTCAAGAGTGTGCTTGGACCAGGGGAGGGGGAGGAGGCGAGAAAACAGATGCCAACCTTTAGCCTAGAGAAATGAAACATGTGAGGGAGCCACCCCTGTACCCAGGCATCTTGGCACATTCCATGGTGCCCTCTTCTTTACAGAGCAAGGGGTGGAGCTGGGAGAGGGACCACGGAAATGAGGCAGAGGCATCTCATTCTTGGGTCTAGGCTGCTCCACCCTAGGACCACAACACCAAACCACATGAAAGATTTGGGAGGGGACTAAGGAAAAGAGACTCCAAAGAATCACACAGCTCAGGACCTGGGCTGTCTAGACAGTGGGTCCCCCCATCAACTTCTACCATGAGCTGCCACTGTCTTAAGTGTCTTTCACTTCTGAAACCTCCCATTGGTGGGAAGGAGCTCCAAGATAGCCAGGATTCCTGGGGTGCCAGCTGCCTTCCTGTGATCCAGGGCATCAGGGCCTCCCTTCCCCTCCAGTTACGTTATTCCTTCTGTGAACTGGGCAGGGAGCCTCCAAGCTTTCTCTGTTAGGGCTGATAATGATCTTTACTAGTAAAACTCAAGGGAAGGAGAGCAGGGGTGAAGACTGGGAGCTTCTAGCTTCCTTGTGTCTGCCTCTTGCGCTGTTTCTCTCTGGCAGCATCTCCCTGTCTGCCTGGGTCTGTCCAGCTGGCCATCACAGTTTCCAGACCAGTGACTCACTCTTCCTGGGGACTCTCTTTTTTAACGCCTCCCTTTATTTTACATTTGACCCTATATGGCTCTTCCTTTTTTTTTTCTTCAGAAGGGAAATAAGTTTCCTGTGAACATGAGTGTGTCTGTTTGTGTCTGCACGCGGGCATGTGTAGCATGTCAGTGAGTGGGCGAGGCGGTGACCTGCTCGCCAAGAATGGACAATTCCCTCATTTCTCTAAGGAAACTGACTTTTTATTTCAAAGTCCCTCCAGGGGCTTATTTGAAAGGCCAGCTCAAATAAGTCTAGAACTAAGAGGGAGCTGGAGGCTGGGGACATGAGAGTGTGACAATAATTGTGTGTGATAGAGCGTGTATAATGTGGATGTTTGTTTGGCTCAGTGTGCGCCCGGCTGGGGGGGTGGGGGATCAGTGTGTGCCTGGCTGGGGGGGGGGGGGATCAGTGTGACTGGGCAGTGTTGGTGTGTATTGGAGATGACAGTTAAAAGTTCCCTGGGCTGCTAAACACACAGCGTGTCTGAGAGTGTGTGCTGATTGTCTTGTGAGGGTCTGGCGTCCAGGACCAGGTACCTAGGATAAAAGCAACTCCCTGGGGCCCCAGCTACGTGGCCTATACCATTCTGGTTTATAACATTTGTTTACTTGACCTTAAGGGTTCAGACAACAAGAGCCTTTAAATTAAAAAATATTTTATGTGTATGGGTGTTTTGCCTAAATGTATGTCTGTATACCACATGTTTGCGTAATGCCCACAGAAATGCCCAGAAGAGGGAGCTGGAGAGATGGCTCAGTGGTTAAGAGCATTGCCTGCTCTTCCAAAGGTCCTGAGTTCAATTCTTGGCAACCACATGGTAGCTCACAACCATCTGTAATGAGGTCTGGTGCCCTCTTCTGGCCTGCACACATACACATAATGAGTAAATAAATAGATATTTAAAGAAAAAAAAAAAAGAAGGAAGTGGGTCCCCAGGAACCAGAGTTACAGACAGCTCTAAAGTGCCATGTAGGTGCTGGGAATTGAACCCAGATCCTCTACGAGAACACCCAGTGTTCCTAAACATTGAGCCGTTTTTCCAGCCCCAGAAAGGTTCTCCCCCTCCCCCCAGTTTTTGAAACAAGATTTCTTTGTGTAGTCCTGGCTGGCCTAGAACTCACAGAGACCCGCTGTCTCTGCCTTCTGAGTGCTGGGATTAAAGCACCATTACCCCTCAGCCAGAAAGGAGGCGCACAGCTCTTTGCTGGAGTACCCCATCTGGAGGTTGTGGCTAAGAAAAAGGAAGGGCTGGCCCGTGGGCTGGAGGAGAAGCGCTTGATGCAGCCTGGGTCAATGAGGGTGAGCACTGGTGGGTGGGGACCAGAAGAAAAAGCCAGTAGGGTGGTGACAGGAGCCGAAATCAGTGTTGCTTGCATTGCACAGAACACTGCCTTGGCCTGAGCACTCAGTCCAGGGTGACATTGTCTCAGTGTTGGACTGAGGCTCATAGCTAAACCTAGTGACCTTAACTGAACCCCCATGGGGAATTCTTACTCTTCTCCCTCATATATGGAGCCATAGAATGTCAATTCTTACTCTTCTCCCTCATATATGGAGTCATAGAATGTCCTCCGCTGTCACTGAGGCCATCTCCTCTTCAGTGGATAAAGACTCCAAGGCCACCAGGCCAGAAGTTGTGATTGCCCCAAGGTGACACTGGCCCCCAGCCATGGGCTTCAGCCATAGATTTCCTACTCTAAAGAGCTCTAGGTGAGATGGAGCCTGGTAGCACTCCGACCTCTGGCTCTCCATCTTCCGGCCTCTTGTACCTCTCACCTTAACTTCCAGCGTCATCTCCCTAGGAAGCTCTCCTGACTGTCCCACTATCTCTCCAGCCCCAAGCGCGGATTCTCCAGCCCGCCGCCTGGTGGCATCCTCCCTCCCACCCCGCCCTCTCCATCCAGCCCCACACTCTTCTCCATCACTTCCTCTTCCCCTCCTCCTCGCCTTTGTCCCTCCCTCTCTGGCTCCCTTCCCCCGCCACTGGTGGCCGGCCCGCCCCTCCCCGGGCATTGGCGGCTGCTCGCTGCCTGGCTGCTTGTACCGCGCCTGGAGCCGGCGGCGCGGGAGGTCGGCCCGCCCCCTCAAAGGCCCAGGGCAGGCGGGCGACCTGCGGGACCCCGGCTAGTAGGAACGCGAACGGTCTGGAGGTCCGGGTTGAGCGGTGAGTCCTCACCCTGGTCAGCCACTGCCCCAGGCAACCGGGCGTAGACGCTCCGGTTGGGAGGGGCGTCTTGGGAAGGGTGGGCGCAATGAGGAGAATGGGGTCCTCGCCCCTCTTTGAGAGCCTGAGGCTGTGAATCTGATGGCGTTTGTGCCCAGAACGTCTTTGAGTGTGTGTGTGTGTGGGGGGGGGGGGGTCCGAGTTATTGAGTGACTGTGCAGACCCCATTTCCCCACCACTGGGCAGTCTGCTCCTTGGGACCCGCCTCTGGAGCCTGTTGAGGGGTCCTGTTTAGGTTGAGGGAGCCTATGCTATGAAAAGAGTCTCCGATGGCAAGAGTCACGGGCTCATCACCCAGCTTCCATTTGGTCAGTCCATTCTATTTGTGTGGCCAGCGGGGCAGTGACTGTCGCTCTGAGTGTGCAGCATGTCTGCCCATATGGCCATAAGCCTGTATGGTTTCTGAGTGTCTGTGTGTGAGTCTGCGTAGGGTGTTTCCCTTCTGCATCTCACAAACAGGATCCACCCTCTCCTTTGCCCAGTGTTTTCCCTCCAGATGTGCGGTTCCTCCACCCACCTGTATACAGCTGGCCTCTGAGTCCTTCTAGGCAGGGAGGACAAGGCAGGGACTTTTGACTCTGATTGGATGGCCAGGGTTTCCTGGGATTCTGGAGAGAGCTAGCCCTGGGGATGTCTGAGTGAGCAGAGAGGGGGCTTCCTAACATAGATGGTTGGCCAGGTCTCTCGGGGCAGTAGGTGCCAGAGTTGGAGCAATGCCTGCGGCCCCTGAGTACAAATAGTAAGTTAATTTGGGCCAGAGCTGCTCTGCTCTCTGTTCCGCTGCCCTCCTGCCCACTCTATTAATACAGCGCCAGTGCCTGGCACCACTATTTATAGCCCAGAGCAACATGGCCACACCCCCTGTGGGGGGTAGGGCAGGGCAGTGACTCCAGGCTGTAGGTGCCAAGGTAGAGGGTCCCTAGCTACCCAAAGCCTCCTTGGGTGGTTCTGGCACTGCTGGGGTGGATTCCACCTCACCTCCCCACCGGCAGCCCAGTTTAGACTGTGTGGTCAGCCGCAGCCCCTTGTCCCCGTCACCCTAGAGTTGAATGATGATCCTTAAAACTCGGCATTAATTAGACTGTTAAATATTCGGCTGAAAGGGGGTGGGTGACTGGCTTTTCCTGAAACAGCTGTAGTTGTAATTAGGTGGATGGCTTGGGTGACTATTATTTATCCCAGTTATGATTACTATGGGATTAGCTCCTTTGATTGGTGGCTTGGCCGAGAAGGCTTTCCCTACTCTCCCAACCACCCATCAGCCTTTAGAACTGTTGGTGCCGTCTGCCTGGGAGGGCCTGTGGGTGTGCCAAAGTAGTGGGTGGCTTTGTCCGATACAGTTCTCTACCGTGGGTGGGCTTCTTAGACTGTGAGCCCCTCAGTGTCCAGGGTCTCAGAATTGGGCCTCTGAGTTCAGTAGGGGGAGCCCTGTCCAAGCACCCACTTGGCCTGGGATGTCCCTTGCCCTTGCAGCCTTCCCTGAGCTGAACTGCCTCAACGTCCTGGAATGTTGACTTCCCTGCCAGTCATAGCCCAGGCTGGCATGAAGCATGGGGCACTAGGTAGCACCGGATTGGGTAGCCAGGAGGTTGGGGCTGGGAGTGTGGACAAATTGGAAGACTAAGTAGTGGAGAGCCCTAGGGCTCTGACTTCTTCCAGTTACGTGTCTTCTTCTGCAGGAGCCTGGAAACACCTGGCAAGGCCAGGAGGAGGAATTCTGCCAGCCAGGCTTAGGCGCCTGTGGGCACACCTGCTGCTGTGCACACTCCTGAGCCCCTGGCTACATTTTCTGGCTCCCACATACCCACCTCCTTCTATGCACTCGTACTTCCTGGGCAGGACTGGGCTTGTGTCTCTTGCCTGGGAATGTGCTTGGCTCAAGCTGAGCCCAGTGGCGTAGAACTGGCTAGATTCTATGGGAGACCAAGAAACAGTCGGGGCAGGGGGATGCTTTGTCCAAAAAAGAGAAACACTCGCTCTATAGGTGCTCAGAGAGGGTTGTAGTACTCCTGAAGCCGTACCACAGGAAGGAACTAAAGTAAGTTCTGAGTCCCACTAGGTTGTTTTGTTTGTCACCATATCTTGTGTGTGTGTGTGTGTGTGTGTGTGTGTGTGTGTGTGTGTGTGTGACTCAGGAAGATGCTGCCTCTCAAACTAACCCTTTTATCCCAGGCAGTTTGATGGATCACAGGTATGCATCTGTGGTGGTTGTTCTTTCTCTCTCTCCTTTTTTTTTTCTTTTTTTAGATTTATTCACTGTATGTGTAGTGTTTTGCTTGCCTGTATGTAAGGGTACCAGATTTGCACCTTGTGCCCTCAGACATCAAAAGAAGGCATCACAATCCTTGGAACCAGAGTTCAGATGGTTTTGAGCTACCATGTAGGTGCTGGAGCCAAACATTTTTTTCTGAAGAACCTTTTCTACTTCTGGAGAATGTTTGCATATACAGTCTTATTAACCCTGGGAGATCTGGTAGTATCAAGTGTCCCATTCTTATGAGAGAACTAGCTTGGAGATAGAGTGGCATCACCTGAAGATTTTGTAGCTAGTGAGGAGCTAGCAGGAGGACTCTGATTTTGGGAACTTATCTATCAGTGATCTTTCCTACTCTGATTTTCGCCGTGGGACTCATCACTGGGTTCCATCGCAGGGCAGATATGCATTGTATGGACACCGAGTACAGGCAGGGTTGACTCTTGGGAGCTGACTGTATAAGCGTGCTAGTGTTGTGGTTGGGGTGGCTAAGTGATTGCTGTCTCTGCAGGCTGCATGTTGTGTCTGGGCCAGTCCACCTTCCTGCGCTTTAACCACCCTGCTGAAGCCAAGTGGATGAAGAGTATGATTCCAGCAGGGGCCCGGGCCCCAGGGCCCTCCTATAACCCCGCCTCTGGTAAGTATCCAGCTGGACACGGGGCTGGGTGAGTGGCACCTCCTTAGACATGTGTCCTTGCCCATTCCAGCCACTCTTGAAGTGTTAGGGGCAGGACAGTACCAGTGGTCTGGGCTCGCTGCCACCTGCCATGCGCTGGGAGAATGCTAGGCCGTGGGGTCACTGGAGAAGAGCCAAGGCAATGCTGCTTGGATCAAGCTGGGGAGTTATGTACCTTGAGGATATACAAGGTTCTGTTAACCTGTAACCCTATGGCCTTGGAAGTTGACTTTGTGTCTGGGACCCTGGCCCTCTTGTGTTGCCAGAGTGTGTCATTCAAGGGGACCGGAGTGTGTTATGGTGAACCCTTAGTAGCTTCCCGGTCCCCCCTGCTGGTGATCATGTCCTGAGGCCCTCGGGCCATGCCATGCCGCCCAGTGACTCAGAGAACAGCTGTAACTTGTGTGTGAATTATTGATCCCCGGAGGAGAATTGGTGATTGTTCTAGGAATCAACACAGGCTCCTCAGCCAGCTGCCTAGGGGGTGGGGTGCAGATGGGGACGCTAACAGGGTGTGTGCCACCCTAAGCTCTGCAGTGGCATTCAGATGGCTGTGGGACTAGAGGGGCCGATGCTGATGCTGTGGCAGGTGAGCATGTATGTCAGGGTCACTTGACGGGATGATCATTTGTGACCTCCGTAGGTGGGTGACTTCACGACAGGCAAGTGGTCGCTGGGAATGCATGGCGGCCACTCTGATTCAGTCAGCCTTGCAAACCCATCCTATTCTTCACTCCCTGCTCCGATGTTTTTCAGTCCCCTGGGGGCTCACTGTGCCCCCACCCCAGCCTGGTCATGTCACTCCTTTAGTTGTTGGGGTGTTGGTTCTGAGGATTCTAAACTCCTGGGTGGTTGACAGAGGCTAGGGCCAGGCAAAAGCTGGCTCTTGCTGGTGTGGTTTAATGGAATAATTGGAGACACTAGGCTGTACCTCAAGGCTCCTCGGCCAGGCTTCCAGGAATAAGCCATTAGCAAATCCTTCTGTGTGGGATTGGATAAACTGGCATGGCTGTCACTACTCATCCGGCCCTGGAGCCCCCACCCCAGGCTCTGACTGCTGGATTGAGAGGCTCTGGTGGCCTCTTAGACTGAGTAGCCCTGGAACTTCTGGCCAGCTCCACAGTAGGACCTCTTTTGCAGTGTGCCCACCTGCTCTTCCTAAAAGAGAGGCACAGAAAGTTGGGGAAACCAGGGCAAGGAGGACTGTACTGTTGGGGTGAGTTGAAAACAGCTAGGCTTAGAAGTAAGTACCTGTTATTGTTGCTGACTCTGTCATGAGTCATTCACTGTTAGAGCCAGGAAGGTCCTGCCTATCATCTTCCTTTATAGGAGGGGACCTTGGGGCACAAGAGTTTGACTAAGGTTGCAGAACAGGTCAGTGGCAGAGAGGGCTGGTGCCAAAACACATCTCTTCTGGCCCCACTGCCCTAGGATGACGTTGGGTGGTATTTTCTTGCTTGTGCATGTGTGTGGCTCCCTAAAGCCAAAAAACAAAAAACCAGAGGCCTCTTTGCCTTTCCTCTCAGCTGAATCAGAGAGCCTGGTGAATGGGAACCACACGGGCCAGCCTGCAACCCGGGGACCTTCAGCCTGTGCCAGCCACAGTTCCCTCGTGAGCTCTATTGAGAAGGACCTGCAGGAAATCATGGACTCGTTGGTGCTAGAGGAGCCTGGAGCTGCTGGCAAGAAGCCCGCTGCCACATCCCCGCTGTCACCAATGGCTAATGGTGGCCGCTACCTGTTGTCACCTCCAACCAGCCCCGGTGCCATGTCTGTGGGCTCCAGCTATGAGAACACCTCTCCAGCCTTCTCTCCTCTTTCCTCACCAGCCAGCAGTGGAAGCTGTGCCAGCCACTCACCCAGCGGTCAGGAGCCAGGCCCATCTGTGCCTCCACTGGTGCCTGCCCGTTCCTCTAGCTACCATTTGGCTCTGCAACCCCCACAGTCTCGTCCAAGTGTAACTCGTTCCTCCGAAAGTCCTCGGCTGGGCAGAAAAGGGGGTCACGAGAGACCTCCCAGTCCTGGTCTCCGGGGTCTTCTGACTGACAGTCCTGCAGCCACAGTCTTGGCTGAGGCCCGCAGAACCACCGAGAGCCCCCGACTGGGTGGGCAGTTACCTGTGGTGGCTATCAGCCTGAGTGAATACCCGTCTTCTGGTGCCCGCAGCCAACCCACAAGTATTCCTGGCAGTCCCAAGTTCCAGTCTCCAGTCCCTGCTCCCCGCAGCAAGATTAGCACGCTCCAGGAGCGCCCTCCCAGTCCTTTCTGTGAGCCTCCAGGCACAGGCACAGAACGGGTGTTAACGACCAGTCCCTCTCGACAACTGGTGGGCCGAACTTTTTCAGATGGGTCAGCAACCCGTACCCTCCAGCCTCCTGAGAGTCCTCGCTTGAGCCGACGAGGCCTGGACAGTATGCGAGAACTGCCACCCTTGAGTCCATCTCTGTCCAGAAGGGCTCTGTCTCCACTGCCAGCCCGGACTACCCCAGATCCCAAGCTAAGCAGGGAAGTGGCTGAGAGTCCTCGGCCCAGGCGCTGGGCAGCTCATGGGACTTCGCCAGAGGACTTCTCCCTGACTCTGGGAGCGCGGGGCCGCAGGACTCGGAGTCCCTCACCTACACTTGGGGAGTCCCTGGCACCTCGCAAAGGCAGCTTCAGTGGCAGGCTAAGCCCAGCCTATAGTCTGGGCTCCCTTACTGGGGCTTCACCTCGTCAGAGCCCCCGTGCTCAGAGGAAACTTTCTAGTGGGGATTTGCGGGTGCCTATCGCGAGGGAGAGGAAAAATAGCATCACGGAGATCAGTGACAATGAGGACGATCTTTTGGAGTACCACCGACGACAGCGCCAGGAGCGGCTCCGGGAACAGGAGATGGAGAGGCTGGTGAGCCAATGCTAGGGAAGCTGCCGCTGCCCAAGGCAGTGCATCTGCCAGGGTGTGGGCAGGCCAGCTGGCGGAGTTGGAGAGGCCATGTACAGGGCCTGGGCTTCTCCAGGATAAACCGTCAGGATAAGTGACCAGTATCTCATGATCCTGGTGCTGTTAAGAGGAGCCTTCCTTGACATCTCTAAGGCTTTTAAATTTTTTATTTGTATGTGCGTGTGCATGCTTGTGCAGGTGTGTGTCTGTGTGTAGGCCAGAAGTTAGTGGATAGTGTCTTCCTCAGTTGCTCTTCAAGCAGATCTCTTTGAGTTCAGGCCAGCCTGGTCTTCATAGTGAGTTTGAGGACAGCCAGGGCTACACAGAGAAACCCTGTCTCAAAAAGAAAAAGAAAGAGAGGAACATTTGTTTAGCTTTCTCTTTTTATAGTAGGAGACAACCTAGGACCTTTGTTACACCAGAATAGCACTCTTACCACTGAGCTAGATCCCAGCCCCAGAATTATTTTTATTTCCTACTCCTCCACTTTTTTTTATTGGTTTGGTGAGACAGGGTCTCACTATAAAACCCAGTGTGGGTGCAAGCTTGCTATGTGGTCCAGGTTGGGTCGAATTCATAATCTCCCTACTGCCTTTTACATACTAAGATTACACGCATGCATCACTCTACCTGGATTGTGTGTGTGGTGGTGGTGGTGAGGCTTCCTTTTTTATTTATTTATTTATTTATTTATTTATTTATTTATTTTTTCCGGAGACAGGGTTTCTCTGTGTAGTCCTGGCTGTCCTGGAACTCGCTCTGTAGACCAAGCTGGCCTCAAACTCACAGAGATCCACTTGCCTCTGCCTCCCAAGTGCTGGGATTAAAGGCGAGTGCCACCACTGCCTGGCTACACATATCCCAGACTGGCCTTGAACTGACTCCAGATCCTCCTGCCTCTGCCTCTTTCAGCAAATCCTACTGGCCTGCGCCACCAGAACTGGTGGATTCCTATTCTACAGCATCTATTTATTACCAGCGTGTGTGTGCATGGGTGTGTTGCTGAAGGCCTATGGCATGGTGAGCGTGTGGAGGCCAGAGGACAGCTTTTGTGGAGTCTTTCTTTCCTTTCCTCTTTACATGGGTTCCAGGGATCAATCTCGGGTCATCAGGCTTACACGGCCAAGCACCTTTACTTGGGACTTGTTCTTTATAGGGGCGCCCTTGCCCCTCTTTCTTGCTTCTCTTTGGCCTCTGAGTGGGCGTGAGCCCGCTCTGGCCCAGGTGGGTCCTCTAAGAGTATGGTACTAAGGTAGAGGAGAAACAGGATGGGCAGCCCCCGGCCTGCCTCCGTGGTTGTGTGATTGTATGTGTCTGCGTGCATAAATGGTGCTGCTGTGTCTGGGTGTGGTTCTGGGCAGCTGTCCTAGAGATGGCATCTGAGCTGGGAGGGGGCTGGGATTCCCCCAAATAGCATAGGGAGTTCCAGGGGCATTGACTGCTGTGTATAGCATGCTCGGAGCCCACATATGAGAACATGGATTCTCCCTTCCTTCTCTTGAGAGCAGAAGCCCAGGATTTTGGGGGACACAGGTACTCTGGAATTGGTTTGAGGAGGACATTTGCCTGAAGAATCTGGGAAGAAGCTGGTCCTTTTGGGTTGAGGGTGTGGGGCAGTACACTTGTGGGAGGCAGGACCCCTAGTCTTTGTCACATGTCATCTCTTTATACTGTGGCTATCCTGGGTCTTCATCCTGAGAGGGACCATCAGCCTTGGCATATCAGTGCTGGGCCCAACCTCCCCACCCCCAACCCCACACACAGGTACACACCTCACCACCAGCCTCAACCTGCCCCACCTGCCACTTTAAGTCAGAGACCGCCCGCCCGCACCCTGCCCCTCCTACCTTAGCCAGGCTGCTTATCTGGGTCCTAGGGCGGGGGTGAGGCATTGGCCCAACCTCCTGGGTGCTAAGGCTTAGTTCCTGGGGTTTTGTTTTGCTGCAGAACTGGGCAAGCCGCAGAAAAGGAGCCAGGTGAGTCTTGTGGGGTGGAGAGTTGAGGCCACAATGTAGGCGGGGACAGAGATTTGATGTTAGAGACCCCAGAAACCCTGTCAGGGTCTGGGCTTGAAAGTCAGGGCTGGGGTGTTACATGTAAATGATGAGTAGGACAGAGACCAGAAACATGACTACCATTGTTCCCTCGCCTCCTAGGCACCTAAGAGGTGACCATTTCTGTATCAGGATTTATAGTGAGAGAATAGACTAACAGGCCACAGAGTACTTGCTCACACCTACCTAGCTTAAGTTGCCAGGAAGGAGCAAAGGGTTGGCTGCCTGAGTGACTTGGAGCTGAGGTGGGACAGGGGAGGAAGACAGTGTCCTCTCTGCCTTTTCTCTCTGTGTCTGGACTGTCAGGTCCTGTGGCCCGTGGTCTGCTTTCCGACCTTGTCTGTCTGCAGGTGCCCACCCAGCTGTGTGCAGACTGTGTTTATCTGTGTGTGTGCATGTCAGGGCTGGTGTCTTTGTGTGTAGCTACCTGTTAATGCTGATGTACCTCCCAGCGTACATGGAGCGTCTGTGTGTGCCTATGTAGAGCTAGTGATCCGTGTGCCCCTGTGCCGAAGCGTGTGTGTGCACCCCTATCACCAGAGCACCTGGGTGATTCTGTGTCTCAGGATGGTCTTTAGGCTACTGGTCGCTGTCTGTTCCCATGTGTTTGGATGTGCCCTTGTGTGACTATGAAGAAGCTTCAGATAGAATGAAAAGGGAAAGTAAACAGGACAATGGGAGGAGCAGGCCACATGGACAGGTGGCGTACGGCCTTATTCTCTGGCCCACTTTTGAGGGACCCTCTTTCCCTCCTCCCCCCATAGGATTATTTTATTTTATTTGGTTTTCTGAGACAGGGTTTCTTTGTGGAGCCCTGACTGTCCTGAGACTTGCTCTGTAGACCAGGCTGGCCTCAAAGTCACAGAGATCCACCTGCCTCTCTGCCTTCTGAGTGCTGGGATTAAAAGCATGTGCCACCATACCCGGCTGAATTTTTTTCGTTTTTCATTTTTATTTATTTATTTTTAGTTAGGGTCTCACTATGTAGTCTTTGGCTGGTTAGCCTGAATCTCGTTAAGTAAACCAGGCCTCAGATTCTGAGATGTACAGGTCTCTGCCCTCCTGAGTGCTGGGATAAAGGTGTGCACCACGTTTGTCTTTCCCACAGGTCATAAGGTTGAGGCTGTCCTCATGATGGTGAATCCTGGTGTTCAGCACACCCTGACTTGGGCCACCCTAGATCTCAGACTTCATTCCTTATGCTCTGCCCGCCCATTGTCCGTAGGAACGCCAGCGCCTGGAGACTATCTTGAACCTGTGTGCCGAGTACAGCCGAGCTGACGGGGGACCCGAGGCTGGGGAATTGCCCAGTATTGGAGAGGCCACCGCAGCGCTGGCATTGGCAGGGAGGAGGCCCTCGAGAGCCTTGACAGGAGCCACGGTGGTCTCTGGGAGGAGCGGTGAGGAGTCTGGAGGTGCCTCCCAGCGCCTGTGGGAGAGCATGGAACGCTCTGATGAGGAAAACCTCAAAGAAGAGTGCAGCAGCACGGAGAGCACCCAGCAGGAGGTTAGGGGCTGAGGGGGAGGGGCCAGGAGCTGATTGATGGGTGCAGCAGCACAGAGAACACCCAGCGGGAGGTTAGGGGCTGAGGGGGCGGGGCCAGGAGCTGATGGGAATGCTAGGGCCCAGTGAGGAGGGGTAGTGAAAAAGAATCAAGGTGAAGAACTGTGGAAGCAAGGAGGAAAAGGGAGGTGACCATGCCTTTCCCAAGCTATAAATGTGCTTTATGACCTGTTTTTCTTTGGGGCCCCACCCAACTCTGGCACTCTGGTAAATCTTTTCCCTATAACTGAGCTCCCTGGCTGGGAGGGAAGTTGTCTCCTGTTTTAGCCTAGTTACCCTATTCAAGTAGTTTGAGGAATGTGTGATCCACACCCTCTTAGTCCGTCTGATCCCGGAAGGTTCTAGACTTCCTCCATGGGTGGCTCTCCTCCCCTCCAGCATGAAGATGCTCCTAGCACGAAGCTCCAGGGAGAGGTGCTGGCTGTGGAAGAGGAGCGGGCTCAGGTGCTGGGGCGTGTGGAGCAGCTGAAGGTCCGAGTAAAGGAGTTGGAGCAGCAGCTGCAGGAGGCAGCCCGAGAGGTGAGCTGCCTGGGAGGCCCCCAGGCTCTGGGATGTGGGGCCCCGCCCTGAGTTCCCTGCCTTGATGAGGGTCCTGGTGTCTGTGTCTAGGCTGAGATGGAGAGGGCATTGCTGCAGGGCGAGAGGGAGGCAGAGCGTACACTGCTGCAGAAAGAACAAAGGGCAGTGGACCAGCTGCAGGAGAAGCTGGTGGCCTTGGAGACCGGCATCCAGAAGGAGAGGGACAAGGTAACCCATACCTGACTGCCCGTGGCCCGGAAGAGAAGGAGAAAATAAATGTTTTCTGTAGGGCTGTACATCCCTCAGCATCCGTCCTGCACACCACATGGTCTCTGTAACCCTCCAGGGACGGGGGCCTTGTTCTCTATGGAAGGTACAAGCTTGGATGGTACTGTCAGGGGCTGGGCTGGTGTTTGGGGTCTCATGTAGCTGGATCTCTGTGATACTTATGGTTGCCTGGGTGCCTGCCGTTCTGGAGCCTGCGTGGTTCTTCTAGGAAGTGCCAAAGCTCTTTCTTGGGCAGTGAGCACAGCCTGAAGCACTGGTGCTGCTGGGGTGGGGGACAAGATTCAGGTTTGGGACCCACTGTAGGGAGAAGCACTCCCTCAAGCATGCCTCAGGTGCTTAGGATGTGGTCTTTGGGAGATGGCCCACAGGCCTCTGTTTCCTGTTATCAGGATCTGCAGCCTCCCATCCCAGATGGTCCCAGCTCCTGCCCCTGCCCCCTTCAGATTTCGTGCCTGTCTTCAGGGGCTGCTCCGTCCCACAGGGGTTGTGCCAACCATGTCCAAGATGCCCAACAGCGTGCCAAAAGCTCTGAAGTGGAGAGGGTTCATCTATTTCTGGATTTGACAGTATTTTTCTAAGAAGTTTTAATTTTCCTTTTGGATTATTTTTTGAGAGTTATCTTCCTCTTTTTTTCTCAATTTTGAGAATCTTAAAATTCATTGCCCCCCTTTTATTTACAGAGCTTTGTCTCTGGCCCCCAAAACCACACTCCAAGATTCTGTGCCAAATTAACCCAATGCTTGCCGACCAGGCCTGCACTAACGCCCCCTCTAATCACTGTCCTGGGCCCTCCGCATGCCCCTAACTGCCAGGCCACCCAGGCAGGGCTGAGTCATGCCAGCTTTACTAACTCCATGGTTAGTAACTTCGTGCCCCTGGTCTCGCCCCTCTAATGTTGCCTCTGTCTTTTCTTGATGCGGGACTCCCTGATCAGAAAGGAACTGGCAGGAAGGCACAGCTAAATTTTGCTTAGTGGACCATTGACAGGAGGGGTGAGAGGATTTGTGTGTTGGGGGAAGATGTACATGGCCAAAGAACTGATCTGCCCAGACAGCACCTTTTGCTGGAAAGGCCTGGGCTGCTGCCTCCAGAATGTTTGAAGGGCAGGGCTTGGGGGTGAGCTGTTGGTCCCTCCTGTCTAGCCCTTTGGAGCTGAGTGCTTAGGAGGTCCAGATGTGAGCTTGGAGGGCTTGGACAGGGCCTTTCTGCCCACCGAGTGACTATCCATTCTTGCTGAATTCAGATGGTTCCTTCCCTCTCTCTATTTCTGGAGGCCACCTAGAACACAGAATAATTTAAAGACAGTAGTGTCTGGACCTCAGGACCTGACCCGAGCAAGGCCTTCCCTCTGTTAGGTGAGCTGGGCAGATGCAGTGAGCTGGGCAGGTGCAGCAGGGGAGTCTGTTCCTTAGGACTGAGGCATTTCACAAGCAACTTGGCTAGCCTCATTTAACCGAGATTGCTCAGGGGCCCGGAATTTTGCCTTCCCTTTGGTCCAGGTGTTTGAGGTGGTGATGGTGGTGATGGTGGTGGTGAGGAGGTTCTCTTGACTTTCCCTCCCAGCTTCCAGCCCATGGCCCTACTCTGGCTCTGGAATCAGTAATCACAGTTTCTCCTCTGCCTGTCCTTCGGAGGGGTGACTCACCAACTCCTCCCCTAGTCCCCCTTTCCGCCCTCAGAGGTGTCATCTCGCCCCAGACAGAGCCATCCACCTCCTCCCTGTATCCACTCCTAGGGCTCCTATTACCATGGCAACGGGCCGAACTAATTGCAACCCTCATCCCCACTGAAGTTCAGCCTGCTTTGCTGGCACCCCACCCCCACGCTGGGCAGGAGGGGGAGGGAGGCCATGGGGGTTGGGCTGGGGTCCCCTTGCTGCACCGCTGTAGCGCTAATATCTTCAGCTCCTCCTTTACTCTCTAACTCCTGGATTTAACCCTTCCCACCACTCCCATTTTCCCCAGGGTTAAATTTTGGTCTCGGGACAGTGTTAGAGCTCGAGGCTCAGTTCTTGCCACGATGCATCAGCTTTGACTTTGGTCTGGAGCATAAACAGAAGGTCCTGTCTTAGGACCTACCTAAACATTTCTAAAGGGACCAACATTTCCACCCTTGCCCCCACGCCTCTGCCTTTTTTACAACTTCCCTTGCCTGAGTCCCGTCTTACAGCTCTGCTCTTTGCCTCTCGCCTCACCCACGTGCCCTCCTTCCTCTTTTGCTCTCTTCTGTCTCGGTGCTTGCCCCCCCCCACTCCCGGTGCCTCCCTGCGCCCGCCCCTTCCCCTCCTGCGCCCCGCGCCGGGCCGGAGTTGAGGAGTGTGTGTTCTCTCTCCCCTGTGCCCCGCCTCCCTCCCCTCCCGCCGACCAGGAGAGGGCGGAGCTGGCCGCAGGACGGAGGCACCTGGAGGCCCGCCAGGCGCTCTACGCCGAGCTCCAGACGCAGCTCGATAACTGCCCCGAGTCAGTGCGGGAACAGTTACAGGAGCAGCTGAGAAGGGTCAGTTCCACCAGCCCCCTCCCCCGGCCCCCGTGGGCCACCGCCCAGACCGAAGACAGGAGAGCGGTGGGAAGGGACCACCTGGCCCCTGCAGTACCTGCCGGACACTAGGGTCGGTGCAGTGGCTTGGAAGGGGACCGGCAAGGTTGGGTGGGGATCAGCGCTCCAGACGGCGATGTCCCCGAAAAGGGCTCAGCCAACCGAGCAGAGGGAGTTGGGGGGTGGGGCCGGTTCCTTCCCCAGTTTCCCCGGGTCCAGCCCCCATAACTTTTGACTCTGGCCTGGCCCTCCTGGCCCAGTGTCTTTGAGAGCACTCCCCACCCAACCCCAAACTTCACTGTCGTTGAAGGAGGCAGACGCTCTGGAGACTGAGACAAAGCTCTTTGAGGACCTGGAGTTCCAGCAACTGGAGCGGGAGAGCCGCGTGGAGGAGGAGCGGGAACTGGCGGGCCAGGGGCTGCTACGGAGCAAGGCTGAGCTGCTGCGCAGCGTGACCAAGAGGAAGGTGTGCACTGCTCACTCCCGGACAGTCCTGGTGACAGATGGAGGCTAGTGATCTGGGGTTGAGTCACAGCCTGTGACTTTGTGAAAGTTAGAGCACAAAAGACAACTTTTCGTGTCTCCTTTTCCTAGTGATTATCAGTAAAAATGAGAACTATTGGGCTGGTGTGAAATTTATATATAAAGGCAGATTAGAGTATGACGGTGACCAGGGTTTAGCAAGAATAGCTAGTTGTTATAAACCCAGACTCTCCACAATTTCTCAAGGGAAAGTGGAATTGGCTCACATGGGCTGGCAGTAGCTTGGCCAGAAGAAGAGACTGGCCAAGGTGCCTGGCTACCACCCTTGAATGCCATCTTATGGTGTTCACCATTGAGCCCAGGGCCTTCTGTCTGCTAAGCACATACTCTGCCATTCAGCTACACCTCCATCCCTGTCTGTGCCTTTCTAGAGCTGTTGGAAGTGCTGGGATGCACACAGAGACCTAAGATCTGGATGCTAGCCTATCGACTTGACAATAGGAAGAATAACCATCTGGGTTCCTGCTTTGGTCCAGCTCAGGCAATACTGTATGCATAGTGAGAAGATGGAGCATTGTCTCTGGTCCGCTCTGATTTGCTAACGCTATAGTCCTTTACTGGTCTCGGTCAAACCAAGTGTAGGAGGTGACAGAAGGGTGGGACAGGTGTTCAGAAGAAGCAGGAAAGGGTTAGGGAGGATGGTCTAGGTGATGTCCAACTCTGATATCCACGTCAATCTCCTGGCTAGACTGAGATGGAAGGTGAGGATAGTGAGGTCTAGGGAATAGGTCAGATGGGGTGAGATGGGACTTGCCGGCCAGCCCGGGTTTGATGGTAAGCGGGAACCACTGGATGTCATAGGCCCAGACCCCTTGTTCCCCTCCCTGAGCTATTGTGCCTTAAAAACACACCTGTTATGGGGGACTGGAAAGGTGGCTCAGTGTTTAAGAACACTGGCTGATTTCCCAGAGCACCCACATTTGATTCCCATCACCCACGTGGTGGTTTACAATCATCTCTGACCCCAGTTCCAGGGGATCCAGCACCTTTTCTGACCTCCTCCAGTTCCCATACATAGGTACACAGACACACAGGCACACATATCTACATAAAATAAACATATTTTAAGATGTACCTACTGTCCTGATAGAAGATGTAGAAAAGGAAGAAAACTAAAGTTTCCCAAGCTCATGTGCCAGATGCCCAGCTAGGACCTTCCCTTGGGTTTCCTCGTGCTGTCCTTAGGATGTCTCACAAGGTGGGCTCTCTGCCCCGCTTTATAGATGAGTAACTAGAACTCAGAAGCCATGGTTTGCATAGAGCCTTCCAGTGTATAAACTTAAGAGTCAGAGAGGGAATGCAAGGCTGCTAGGCTTCAAGGCCCAAGGCATTTTTGCTGTTCTCCATATGGTCTGGGTTGGCACTTCTTCCTCTTCCCCTGTTCACCTGAAGGGAACACAGCCAAGAGGCTTAGATCAGCTGGTCCCATTCATTAGCGGTCTGGAGGGAATCATCTCTAGGGACTGTGTCTCTCCTCTTTTTGACCAACCTAGGGCTCAGGGAACCTGCTCAGCCCTTAACACCTAGGATGCGTGTGTGTGTGTGTGTGTGTGTGTGTGCGTGCATGTGTATGGTGTGCTATGACATTCTTTCCTATCTTCCCTGTGAACTTAACACCTAGGATGTGTGTGTGTGTGTGTGTGTGTGTGTGTGTGTGTGTGAGTGTGTGTGATGACATTTTTTCCTGTCCTCCCTGTGAGCTTTGCCCTTGTATCTGCAGAGTCCCCTCTGGCTCTGTTTGCCCTGGAAAACGGATACAGCCTATGTATCGGTCTACTATGGTTCAAAGTGAGTGAGAAAGCTGGTCTTGGAATCCTACAGGTCTGGTGCTAGTCCTAAGTCTACTGCTATCCAAGAGATTCTAACCCTAAACATCTCTAAAATGGGCATAAAAGCACCTGCTTCATACAATTGGATGAAGTAACAGATTAAAAAAAACCATCCGGGAGCACCCCAGTCCTCCTCCGTTATAGTAAGGGATGGCTGTTGCTGGGAGGGTTCCTGTCTGCGGGTTTTTTTTGGGGGGGGGCATGGGTTGACTCCAAGTTTAGGATAGCTCCCTTCTCCGTAACACCTCCTCCCATGTGCTGCTCGGAAGAGTAGTGGTTTAAGACCGCCTGAGATTAATCTAACACACTTTGCCTAAGCTCTCATCTTTTCCTCTCAAAATGTTTTCATTTTCTTTTAGCATATGCTTGTTGAGCCAGGGACTGTGCTAAGCCCTGTTGGGGTTGTGGAGACAGAAATGACACTGGTCTGCCCTGATCTTACGGGAGGGCGGAGGGGGTGGTGGAGACAGTCACAGATCACAGTAAGGCGAGGTGGATGGATATGGACGAATGTGAATGCAGAGACAGGAACAAGGAAATGGAATGGCGGTCAAGGAAGCATCCAACCTGGCCTTGGAGGAGGAGCCTTGGAGTAGTGGGAAGACTGGAATGGCTGGCCCTCCTGGGCCAAGAGGATGATGGTTGAGGGCTAAGAGTCTACAGTGGCGCAGAGTACAGCATGGTAGAGCCAGGGTGTGTGGAGGGACCAGTGGGTGGGGGGCACCGGCTCTGAGAGCCCTTAAATGCTGGGTAGGAAGTTTATGTTCTGTCTGGAGGTAGTAAAGAACCACAGAAAGGTTTTGAGGACATGGGTGATTTGGCCTTGCTTGTTTCTGTGTTGTTTTTTTATTTTTATTTATTTGAATGTTCTGCCTTCATGTGTGTCTGTATGCCATGTATGTGTTGGCTTCCCTGGGACTGGAGTTAAAGGCAGAGGCAGTTGTGAGCTGCCATGTGGATCCTGGGAATTGAACCCAGGTTCTCTGGAAGAACAGCCAATGCTCTTAACCCTTGAGCCCTTTTTCCAGGCCCAACTTGCTGAGTTTTTGTTTTGTTTGGGGGGAAGAGTCAAATCAGGGTTTCTCAGTAACTTTGGAGCCTGCCCTGGAACTCACTTTGTAGATCAGGGTAGCCTCAAACTCACAGAGATCCATCTATCTTTGCCTCCCGAGTGCTGGAATTAAAGCGTGTGCTACGACTGCCCAGCTCTTGCTGAGTTTTTAAAAAGTTACTGAAGAACCACAGTTGTGGTCCACACTTGAGTCTAAGGCTATGTCCCAGTTTCTCTGAGATGAGGCAGAAAGAGTGCTTGAGCCCAGGAGTTCAAGTCCAGCCCAAGGAGCAGGAGACCTCATCTCCAAACTAAAGGAAAAGGTGCGGCATGATGGTTCAATTCTGAGGAGACTGAGGCAAAAGAATCGCCTTGAGTTCAAGACTTGCCTCGACTCCAAAGTCAGTTTAAGGCCAGTCTGAACTTACACAGTGTGTTAAAGCAAGTCTGGACTATCTAGTGAATTTAAAGTCAGTTTTGATTATTTAGCAAGACTGAAAAACCAAAATCAAGCAGATAATATTACTCAAGTAATACGGCATTCTTTTTAGGATGTGAGGAAATTCAGATAACCGAACAAGGTTCAGAAGCTATTTTAGGAAAATGTGTAGACATGCAGAGTGGATCTAAACATTGTGAGAGATAGCAAAATCCAGCAGGGAGTGGAGGACCTGAATTCTAGTGACGGGGAGGTGGAGGGAATCGGCAGAGGGCTAACTTCAGTGTCACCAGGCTTTGGGAGCCATTGGCTACTCAGTGAGGGAATAGAGGATTGGTTGCTGGCTAGCAGGATCACTGGGTGAGAGAGGGAGGAACGAGGAAAGGAGCTGACCTCTTTAGCCAGAATTCTTCTGGGGTGAGTTGAAGCCAAGCAAGAGAGTTTGATGGTTGCTATCACAGACTCTTGGGTCTTTGGACAGGAGACTCAGCCAAACTTTGGGCTGAGTTATATCCCTCCAGGGTCTGATTGCATTCCGTTTCCTCAGGAGCGCCTAGCTGTATTGGACAGTCAGGCTGGGCAGATCCGGGCCCAAGCACTGCAGGAGTCAGAGCGTCTGGCCCGGGACAAGAATGCCGCCCTGCAGCTACTACAAAAGGTAGCTGGCCTTGGGTCCTGAGAGAGGAGAGAGATGTGGGGGTGGGTGAGGGGAGAAGAGTACAGAAAGTTGGGGTGGGATTGCCAGCACAGGAGTCGGGTGTGGGTCTTCACTCTTGCTTCCATGGCTCTGACCCTGCTGTCCTGGCCTCCAGGAGAAGGAGAAACTGACGGTGCTCGAGAGGCGATATCATGCGCTCACCGGCGGGAGGCCTTTTCCCAAGACCACTTCGACCCTCAAAGAGGTAACATGGCTGGCTGGGTTAGCCCCAGCGTTAGGCTTGGGGGATCCGGGAGACTCAGGAGCAAGGTGTGCCACCTTCATCCTGGGTGGTTGAGTGGGTACACTTCCTGTCAAGATTTGAAGAAGATGGCCTTGGGGGCTGACCCTTGGCTCTTCACAACCACCAGCCTCTAGTTGCCTTTGGCACCTCACACTTTTTGGGTGACTGAGTATATGTGAGAGGCCCTGGGTCCCTAGGCGGGGTGGTGGAGAGCTCAGAATTTGGAAAGGTTCAGGACTGGGTGAACCTCGCTTAAAGAGGAATCCAGGGACTGTGGATCATTGCCCTGGACCTCCTGAGCCTCTGTCTAAAGCTAGGCTTTCAGCCTAGAATGGAGCCTTAAATTGAATGGTTCGTTCCCAAATCTTCACATCTAGTGTGGGAAGTCCAACTGGTTTCCCGACATTTCTCTCCTCTTCTCTGTCTCATTGCCCAAACAGCTTTGGTCTGGAGCAGGGGGTTGAGTTGAACGTTAGGGGTGAGGCCCCTCTCACCGTGTGTCCTCTTGTAGGCTCAGCTGTCCATCTCCGTGTCCTCAGAGATGGGGCTGGAGACCAAGGCTCTGGGCCCATCCCCAAGGTCTTCTCAGGCTGGGGCCTCCTCTGTTTCCTTAACCCCTCCTGCTTCCACTCAGCTCTGTCCAAAAGCACAAGAGGTAACCGCAGCCGCCTGCCTGCTCTGCTTTGCCCTCTGCCTGTCTGCCTGCTAACCAAACTCCTGCCTCCGCTCTTCCCAGGGAAGGCGGAAGGGCATGTGGCATATCCTTGGGCTGGCAGTTTGAGAGTTTGCGTGAGTGTGTCATCCTGTCATTCGTGGAGTGCCTGGGCAGCCCATACAGAATGTTAGCGTTTGCATTTGCGTTTGAGTTTGCTTGCGGTCTGCACGCCATTCTCTGATGCCCACAACACACTGAACTCTGCCTCATCTTCCTTTTCTCTGACCCCAGAAGATAGCATGGCTCTGGGGTTTGATGGGGTACCCTGGATAGGCAGCCTAAGGATCCTGTGCTTTGGCTAAGCTCACTGTGGGTGACCAGCACCTAGATCACCTCAAGGCTTGAGGACAAGTGATGGAGTATCCAGTTCTGTCCTCCAGCCTCCAGTAAAGTGGACTGACATATTTCCAAGTATTTACCCAACCCGTTTTCCTGCTTGCTCTCTGCCGACGCCAGGCCTGTTTCTCGGAGCTTGTCTCGCTCAGGCCTTAGTGTTCTCTCCACTCGCCTGTTCTGATGATCGACCCTTGGGGACCTGTCCTCTTCCTGGGCAGTGCCATGACTAGTATTTAGCACTGCATGCGTGTGCCCAACTGCGGATGTCCAGTGTGATAGAGGCAGATGGGACTCTAAGAGCTGGGTCCTGATTCTCACTGGGAATACCTTCTCCAGGCATACTCACTTGCTCCCCGCCCAGGGCCAATTCATAGATGGTTGTGTTGGTTTTCCTCTGGGCAGCACCTAAATGCCATGCTCATCTCCAAAGTAGAGGTTGAGCAGAGCCTTCCATAGTCAGTTCTGCCTGCCTCTTTCAAGCCCACTTCGCCCAGCCATTGTGGCCATAGTTGGCTGCCGAGTGCCCTGTTCCACTGTGGATTCTGCAGCGATGTGAAGTGGTGGTTCTAGCCTGGCATGGAGTGTGGGGTATCGAGGACTTGATTGAACCTGTTAACCTCTTCTCTGTCCCCCACCCTGGGCACCCTAGGAGTATGTGAGCCTGGCTGAGGTTCTCCAGTTCTGCTTTCGCTTGGACCCCTATGCTTCTGCTGCCTGCCCCAGCAGACTCCCCCAGTCCCTGCCTGACAGCGAGGTACCAGCCACAGAGTGTGCCCACCTGTACCCAGGGGCCTCCATTGCGTCTCATCCTGGGTGGGGGCCAGGGGCAATGAGCTTGGCATTGAGGGTTGAACATGGTTCATCTTCTTCCATGGGATCTTAGGAGCTCTTCTCAGTACCCAATGGCCTGGGAAGGCCAAACCCTGTCTTCTAATCTCCAAGGAGACTTAGGGTGGGTCTCCTTCTAAGCTGCGACCTTTCTCCTCCCCAGTAGTCAGGGCCATGTCTTGGGTTCTACTCCCATTAACCTTTTCTATTCCCTCCTGTGGCTGGCTGCCTCTCAAGTACGTGACGCTTGAGCAGCTAAAAGTGATGTGGGGCACCTCAGCCATGCCCCCAGCCCCTTCGCCAGGCCTGCCTTCCTGGGCTTCTGCCTCCCGAGACCTGGTTCCCATCACCCGTCTTCCTCCCATGCTGCCCTCTTCTTCCTTCGCTTCCATCACGCCTTCATCTAAGGTTGGTGGTCTGTGTGTCCTCGCTACCCCATTCCATGGCTGGCCTGACTGTGTGTGTGTTGCCCCCGCTCCTTGGCCTCTGTGTTTTAAGCCAGCTGAGGGCCTAAGGCTATGCCCAATGCCTGCAGGTACCGGCAGCCTGGCTGTTGACAAAGCACAGGTCCGTGCCCTAGAACTTGTGCCCTGATTGTTTCTCTTTGCTCCCAGCCCAGTCCACGTGACTGTTGTCTCACTGTTTTTCTCTTCTTCTCCTTATGCTCTCCTCCCTTCCTCCCTCCTTCCCTCCCTCCCTCCCTCTTCCCTTCCTTCCCATTTCTCTGATGCGGCCTCCCTTTCCCTTCCCTCCGTCTTTTTCTTCTTCCCATCTCTCGCCTCCGGTCTCTGCCCTTCCTCTCCATCCTTGCCTTCCCCCTGCCCCTCCAGATGGAGAAGCTGCTGCTCCCTGCTGTAGACTTAGAGCAGTGGTACCAGGAGCTGATGGCCGGGCTGGGGACTGGCCTCGCCGCAGCCTCCCCTCGCTCCTCTCCCCCGCCTCTGCCTGCCAAAGCCTCCCGTCAGCTGCAGGTAACCTTCACTGCCTGTCTTCCCAGGTCCTGTTCCTGTCCGCTCTGAGCACCTGCTGCCAATCCTTCAGGCACAATGTACACCTTGTCAGGTGGTTACCCAGCAGGGCACGGAGGGGCCCGTAAGCCCGGAGAGGGCAACAAGGGTCTTTTTCTGGACATCCATCTTGCCATTCTGGCACTTTGGGAAGCTAGGGAGTCCAGCACCTGAGTCCAAGGGGGTTGGGATTGAGTGACCATTAGAAGGATGTTTTCCCCAGAGTTTCTCACGCGGACCTGGGGGCTTGACGTGCCCTTGGGCCTGCTGCAGATAGGACTAGTGTCACTCCAGGAAGCTGCTGGTATTTTATTTTCCCGGTCTTCTCAGGGGTGGCAGGTTCTCCGAAGCGACAGCCCTAGAAAGCCAGCTTGTGTGACCACGGTCATGTCTGAGTCTCCAGCAGTCTGCAGACTGTGGGAGGCCCAGGCGCTTGTGCCACCGAAGTGTGCTCCCCTGCTGAGCCATGGTGCCTGTGATCCGCCTCTGAACTCATTCTTTAGTGAGGGAGCTGTATCTCTGGGGCTGCGACCTCAGCTAGCATCCTGTGGTCCCTTCTGGAGGATTGATTCATGTAACACATGGGGTCCCTCTATCGGATGCCCAGCTGGTTGGAGACTTTGACCGCTTTTGATGCATTGAATCCCCACCACAGGCCTTTGAGGTAGACAGTATTAGCGCTCGTTGTATAGATCAAAGGCTCAGGCATGGGGGAACATAAAATAATCTCACCCAAGCCACTCAGCTCGGAAGCAGTATGGAGACTCGGCATTCCCATCTCCGAAGGCCAGATGTGCTGCGTGTCAGCACCGCGAGGGAGTTTGGCCGGGACTTCATCCAGCTCTGCTTTCCGTTACAGATGAGAAAGCCCAGAGGCAGGGTAGGGAGGTGTGTGGCTCAGGCCTTCGCTTAGTCTCCTGCAGAACCCTGTCCAGCTGACACTAACTTCTTGCCTGGGTCACTTCATAGGTCCTCCCTCAGTCCTTCCTCAGTCTTTCCTCAGAGATTGGCTCAGGGAGCAAGGGCCTGGAAAGGTGGTTGGGCAGTTGCCAGTAGCTTCTGCCCACTGGGCTGACTCAGGAGGCTTGTCTGCTGGAGCCAGAAAGGCTCAGAGGCCCTGTGCTGGGGTAGTGCCTTGGGTCACAGCTGATCTAGTTGCCATGAAGCAACAGCCGGTGGGGAAGCTGGGTGATCACTGGGCAATACCTTTCTCTTCCAGGTTTACCGCTCCAAGATGGACGGCGAGGCCACCAGCCCTCTGCCACGGACCCGTAGTGGCCCTCTCCCCTCCTCCTCAGGCTCTTCATCCTCTTCCTCACAGCTCAGCGTGGCTACCCTGGGCCGTAGTCCATCACCAAAGGTCTGAGGACATGTGTGGTGTCGGGGATGGAGACAGCCATGTTGGGCAGAGGCTAAAGCTGTCCGTGCAGACATTAGGCTGAGGATGGGGTTCCCTGAGCCCCAGTACTAGCGCTCCTACATCCCTCCACCCTGCAGAGTGCCCTGCTTGCCCAGAATGGCACCAGTAGCCTTCCTCGAAACCTGGCAGCCACGCTGCAGGACATTGAGACTAAGCGCCAACTGGCCCTACAGCAGAAAGGTAAGCGCTGTAATGCCAGCCTGCCCCTGCCTCCATTCCCTGGGAGGAGCCTCTGTCACCTCATGCATGCTCAACCCGCTCCCAGGACGTCTCCTATCACTGGGATCTGGGCAAGAGCAGCAGAGATTCAGATCTCGTGAAGATCTTCCTGGGAGTTCTCAGAAGACCCCAGGACAGGGGACGAAGGGTCTGAGCACTTGTGACATCTTAGAGGGCCCATCCTTGACCAAGTAGGGTGGACATTGGAAGCCGTGGGTGGATGTGGTGAGGACCTCCAGCAGTGGTTTCCTGAGACCCCGGCTCTTCAGACAGGAGTCCTGTGGCTGTGTGTGTTTCAGTTGTTTTGAAAGCCCATGTCTGTGCCTCTCTCTCCTCTTATCCCCTCTGTGTCTCTCTCCTGCACCCTCTGCCCTGGGCCCCCCACACCAGTCGAGTCACTTCCTGCCGAGCCCCTCCCACCCGACGACCCAGCAGGTAGAGCATTGGTTACTGAGGACATTGCTTTGGCCAGGCAGCCCCTGTCCTGACATTAGCATGATGTGTCCTGCCCAGGCTCTGCTGCCTGCTGGCATTACCCACCCCACCCCCCACCCTCTGGCCTCGCTGGGCTAGGGTGCTTGGCTGGCTTCCGGTCCAGCTCACCTCTCTGTTGCGCTCAGCTATGCTTTCCAGTCTCCCTGCCTTCCCTCCTGCTCTGGCTGCAATTGCTTCTGCATTGCTGGGGGCCTGCACTGTCCGCGGGGTTCCCCTCCTCCCACCAGCTCCCCTCCTCCCTCCCCAGCAGACATGGTGGGTGCATGTGTCCTGCTCATCTGTGCAGGCCTCAGTTGCGAGCTGGAACAGCTGGCTGGCATGCTGCCTGGGCACCACCAGGGCAGTCGTTGTGCTCTCTGTGTGCCCGGGATGCAGAAAGGGCCTGAAGTCAGACTGCAAACACTGGCCTACATGACTGCAGGGGCCACTGGCCTAGAGCTCTGGGAACCAGGCAGCTATGGGGCAGGGGCTGCTCTGCATTAGCCTCTTCGTGCCTGCCTCCTCTCTCTGTCTGTGATGCTCCAATCTTCCCGCCCCTGGTGAGTGAGGAGCCCTCTGTGAATCCCGCTGCCCCTCCCGCAGGACACCAGGTGATTGAGGAGCAGCGGAGGCGACTGGCCGAGCTGAAGCAGAAAGCAGCCGCCGAGGCCCAGTGCCAGTGGGATGCCCTGCACGGTGCAGCGCCCTTTGCAGCAGGCCCCTCCGGCTTCCCAGCGCTCATGCACCATTCCATCCTGCACCACCTGCCAGCTGGCAGGGAGCGTGGCGAGGAGGGTGAACATGCTTATGACACCCTGAGCCTGGAGAGCTCAGACAGCATGGAGACCAGCATCTCTACAGGGGGCAACTCAGCCTGCTCCCCTGACAACATGTCCAGGTGCCTCCTCCTCTAGCCGGCTCCTTGTGCCCGGTGCCCTTGAGCTCACTTGACAAGCTCTCTCTTCCCCTTTCCTCCCTAGTGCCAGTGGTCTGGACATGGGCAAGATTGAGGAGATGGAGAAGATGCTAAAGGAAGCTCATGCAGAGAAGAGCCGGCTCATGGAGTCCAGGGTGAGGCTGACTGGAGCCAGGAGGCAGCAGGTGGTGAGCACGGAGCTGCCTTCCGCCTGCCGTACCCCAAGCCCTTCCGCCCGCCGTTCCCCAAGCCCTTTCGCCCGCCGTGCCCCAAGCCTTTCCGCCCACATTAACTTACAGTAAAAGTTTGTATTTCTCAAGTGTGGCCTGGGAGACTTGGGCAGCCTACAGCGTCCCAAACCCCTGGAACACAGGCAGTTGTCACTCTGTCCAACCGTGGGTTTCCGATAGGGTAGCTTCAGTCTCCATGCCCCATCCTGTGGATCTCGTGGGAACCTAAGTAGGGGGATATTCTCCTTGGGGATAATTTGGAAAAGCAGAAAGTGGGATTGAGGTAGAGGATCAAAAAGAAAAAGAAAGGCGGGTGCCTAAGTCAGGGCAGAGGTGTTGACTGGGGAATCTCTCTCTAAAAAAAAAGCAAAACCAACCAACAAGCTACAGCAAAAGCCCTCTCAGTCTCTTAATTGAGGACCAGTAGGTGGAACTGAGGAATCACAGGGGCTGGAAAAAGAGGAAGAACTGACCATATGCATGGAGGACCAGCTAAAAAAGATGTCTTCATGTTATTTACTCCAAATTAAGGCGAATTTATAAACCTCTCTTGCAGGGAAGTTGGAGATGATGCTAAGTTTTGAGCTGTAATAAAACTAGTGCAGGGTCTCTGCTGATTGACACACAAAATTCAGGTGTGACCTTAATCCCGTGAAGTTTGAAATTCAACAGTGAATGTCACATGAAGGATTTAAAAAGTCATATTAAGTCAGTGATTGGGAAAGGACTGTATGTACCAGCTGTCAAAAAGAGTGGTTAACTCCAGGGCTGGAGAGATGGCTCAGCAGTTAAGAGCACTGAATGCCTTTCCAGAGGATCTGGGTTCAAACACATAGCAGCTCACACCTGTCTGTTAATTTAGTTCCAGGGAATCTGATACCCTCACACCAATGCACGTAAAATAAAATAATTAAAAAAAAAAGAGTAGCTAACTAACACATGCTCTAGGAATTCATGTAAAATTGTAAGAGCCTGGGGCTGGAGAGCTGGCTCAGCAATGAAGAGGGCTCTCGCTGCTTTAGCAGAAGGCCACAGTTTGCTTCCTAACATTTATGTCACAGTTGTCTATGACTCCAGCTCCTAGGAACCTGACACCCTCTTCTAGCTTCTGTGGACACCTGCACATACATGACATGCACATGCTAGTACACAGGTACACACACACATGCACAGAAAAGTAAATAAAAATACTTATTTTGTTATAACCAGGTGTGATGGCGTCTACGTCTAATCTCAGCACTTGGGAGGTAGAGGCGGATGGATCTCTGAGTTGGAGGCCAACTTGGTCTACGTAGAGTTCTAGGCCAGCCAGAGTAACATGAGACCCTGTCTCAATAAAAGAAAGCTATACAAGACTCACTTTATTGAGTGCTATTTTTGTGCCGGAATCTGATGGCATATCTGACTTCTTTGAACTTTTACCTCATTCCCAGAAGCAGATTTGTTGAAGCCCAGTTTCCTAATGAGGTAGCTGAGGCTTAGAGAGTGTAAAGGGTTTGGCAGGGTTGTAGCCCATAAAATGGTGCCAGAAGCAATGTTTGAAGCGTTTATCCTTAGCCATGAGAGGGTGGCCTTTAAGGACATGCTTGCTTAGCGAGACCATTGTCCAGGGTCTGTAACTCTGTCCAGGCCTGAGGGCACTGACCCCTCTTTTCCCCTCGGCAGGAGCGGGAGATGGAACTGCGGAGGCAGGCCCTGGAGGAGGAACGGCGGAGGCGGGAGCAGGCTGAGAGGCGGCTGCAGAGCGAGAGCGCCCGCAGGCAGCAGCTGGTGGAGAAGGAAGTGAAGCTGCGGGAGAAACAGTTTTCCCAGGTAGTGGTCGGCTTGATGGGGCTGTGAAGCAGGCCCCTGTGCCGGGCGGTGGAGCCTGGCAGCCAGAAAAGATTACTGTGGGCTTCATGTGGGCAGCATTCCACCTGGGACTCATTGGCTACTACAGCAGACCCACAAGGGTTTGTTGATGCGTGCATGTGTGCGTGCATTGGGGTGGATGGGGTATGGAGCTGTCCACCCTCCTGTATGTGTCTGGAATCAGAGAGGGTCTGAAGAAAGGCACACCTAAGCGACCACTACAAAGTCACATTTATGGAGAGAGAAACAAACATGGATTCTGGGTACACCTTCAGAGTTGACAGGAGTGGTAAGAACCAGGATGGCCGCCTTAGCCTCTGTAGGGCTCTGTTCCAGTTTTGGGAGTCTGTGCTATCTGTCCCATCTACCAACTGCCAATCTTGTATGTAGCACTCCTCTGTGTACCAACCCTCTTCTCCTCATAGGGCCTTTGGGCTCCAGTCTCTGTCACTGTGGACAGCCTTACTCTGACGTTTTGTATATAGCTTCTCCTCAGGCAAAAATCTCTCATTGCTCAAAACTAGACCTTCCCCAAGAGATATGGCAGGGGGTGGGGGGAGCGGCTGGGCAAGGACATCTATGTATGTGCCTGTCAAACCCTGTGAGTGCTATAGAACTCAGCCAAGGACATCCACGTGTGTGCCCGGTCCCTAACCCTGTGAGAGTGCTATAGAGCTCAGCCAGACAGCTCCTTTTGACTGAGTCTCCATAGTCTTCCCCAAGCTGGGGTCCTCTGGGACCTCCCTGTAGAGAGACCAACAACCACAGCTCCCTTGTTTTCTGAGATGCAGCAACATAAAACCTAGGGGGTAGGACCCGTACTGGGCTTTGATAGTTAAGAAACATCCAGAAGCTAGGCAGGGTGATGATGGCACACACCTTTAATCCCAGCACTCTGGAGGCAGAGGCTGGAGGATCTCTGTGAGTTTGAGGCCAGCCTGGTCTATAGAGCTAGTTCTAGGACAGCCAGGGATACACTTAGGAACCCTGTCTCGAAAAACCAACCAATCATCAAAACAAACAAAACAGCAGCAATAAAAAATACCACACAGTTAGAAAGAAACCACCAGTGGGGCTGGAGAAAGGGCTCAGCTGTTAAGAGCATTTACCGCTCTTGCAGAGAAAACAAGTTTTGGTTCCCAACAACCACACAGCGGCTCACACATAGCTGTAATTCTTCTTCCAGAGGGTCCTGGTGCCTCTGCGGGCATGCCCCTGTGTACTCATGTGTACAGCAGGTACACACTAATACACATAAAATAAGTTTAAAAAAAACATCAGAAACTCTGGAGCTTTTCCACCAGTCTAATCTTTGTCAGAGACCTTGTACCCCTTCCTGTCCCTGCCCTGACACCTCTCAGACCCTGTCCTTCAGCCTCTCTGAGGCTAGGGCCTGGTAGGAGAGGAAGCCATCTTTGCATCTCTTGCAAGTTGTAGATTTTGTCATTTGTGGCATTTCCCTTACTTGATTTTGTTTGTTTGTTTTTTGAGACAGGGTTTCTCTGTGTAGCCAGCCCTGAATATTCCGGAACTTGCTCTGCAGGTCAGGCTGGCGTTGAACTCACAGAGATCTGCCTGCCTCTGCCTTGCCACCCAGCAACATTTTAAGGTTTTTCTGGAAAAGCAAGAGTAGAAAAATATTCCAGTTAATGGAGAATTCTTTTTATAAACAGAGATGATGTAGACCTTAGTGATTGTCTAGTTTAGATTCTCTATATTAAATATACGAACACTAGAAGAATATAATGTAAACAAATCACTAAGCGGATTACTTTACTTATTTTTCTTTCTTTTTAAAGAGAGGTTCCCCTGTCTCTCTTAATTTTATTATGTGTTTAGTGTATGTATGTGTTCGGGGGGAGGGGGTTGTACAAAGGTTAAAGGACAACTTAGGAGTTTCTCTCCTTCTACTGTGTGGGTCCCAGTAATCAGGTCATCAGACTTGGCAGCAGGCTCCTTCACCTGCTGAGCCATCTCTGTTTGTCTTCTGATGGTGGGGATGGAACCCAGGGCCTTGAGAGTGCTAGGGAGGTGCTCCTCTCTGAACTGCACCCCAGCCCTGGAGCACGGATCTCCCCCGGGACTTGTTTTCCCCAGGACACGTTCACATCTGGCCTCTTGTCATTCTGTCCAGAGGGAGAGGAAGCACAAGAAGACAGCAATGGCTGTCATTGTCATAGGTGGGAGAACCGAGGCAAAGAACTGGCTGGTCAGCATTTTGCCTGGGCCTAGGTCGAGTCAGCACAGTCTCCACGCTGGTCACAAGTCCTCTGAGGCCAGTGACGGCCACAGGAGTCAAGAGGGGGTGACGCTAAGTTGTGGGAGGTCCAGGGCTAAAGCCGAGGAACAAGAACGAGGGAACAATGAGAAAAGAGGAATAACTCTGCCATCCCTGCCCTCTGTCCCCAGGCACGGCCTCTTACACGCTATCTGCCCAACCGGAAGGAGGACTTTGACTTGAAGACCCACATAGAGTCATCAGGCCACGGCGTGGACACCTGCCTACACGTGGTGCTTAGCAGCAAGGTAGCAGCCTGTGTGGCTTAGGCTGTGGGAAGGGGACCTTGGAATTGTGCTTTCGGTCTGTCCCAGTCCCTTGTGTGCTAGCCTGAGATGTTGGGGACAGCCTCTGCCAAGGCAGACAGAGGCGATGGCCTCTCCTAAAGGAGCCGCTTGGGGAGAAAGGCTCAGGCTCCACATGTGTATCTTCAGTGTTATTCCCCCACCAGGTCTGCCGTGGCTACTTGATCAAGATGGGCGGCAAGATTAAATCGTGGAAGAAGCGCTGGTTTGTCTTTGATCGGCTCAAGCGCACCCTTTCCTATTATGTGGGTGAGTTCCCACAGACTGCCCTTGGGCCAATCGGGGCTGGGACCCTTGGGCTCTAACAGCTGGGTTGGCCAGTCTGCTAGAAGGAAGCTAAACTTTCAGGTAGAGGGCCAGAGGCTCTGTTGGGCCTCGAGTTCCCTCCTCTGAAAATGTACAGAGTGTACCCAGTTCGCATTCCTCCATTCTTCCACATAGTCATTGCTCTGTGGTGTTGTGGGGAATCTGATAAACTCCAGTCCCTATTTCAGGCTCTGGTGACAAGATAGCCATGCTTTCTTCTTTGGTGCACACTGTCAGGAAGGCAGGTGCCAAGCAGAGAGTTAAATACGGTCTGTGGGTTTCCCTGACAGGGAACACCCAGACATGGGGCACAAAATTTTGCCTGGGAACTGTCCCCTCAGAGACTTCGAGATAATCGGTTAAACGGTGTCAAGGACTCTGGGGACATCCCAGGAGCCAGGGACCTTATTCAGCTCTGCTCTTCCTCCCCCTCACACGGTCTCTAGCATAGACTCCAATCCCCAGAATACCTTTGGACTTTCCTATTTTGAGCATGAGGTGCTGTGTGGTCCGAAGTCAGCAAGGGCTAGACTATGCTGTGATCAGTGGTCCTCTGAGTTCCTTCCTGTGCATGACATAAATTTGCTGTGCATCGTGGACTGGTTGTCTTCGCTATGCAATGAACCTTTCTGGAACATTGCTGGTCAAATTAGCAGAGAGACGAGAGAGGTTTGAGGGGCTCTGCCGTGACCTGAAGTGCCTGAGCTGGGAAGTAACTTGTGCTCCACCTGCCTGCCAGTCACTCAGCCCCACCACCTACAGAGCTGGACAGGGGAGGGCTGCAGGGCCAAGAATGCCCAGGCCCCATGCCTTGCTTGCTCCCTCTCACCTTTTACCCACTTGGAAAGCCTTCCCTGATCTCCCTCAGTCCTGGATGTGGAGAGACCAGAAGCCTAGGTGTAGCTAGGCTAGGACAGTAGAGGAACCTTCTCAGCCTGGGGAAGCAGAGCTCCGCTTCACACATGTAGAGGCTGAGGTGCATTGAGCTAGGCCCAGGAGAGAGGCTAGGCTGCAAGGGAGACCTCGTCAAATGTCTTGGAGTAATACACAGATGCAAGTCCTGTTCATCAAACACTTGTGTGATCAGGACTCTGTATGCATCAGTGCGTCTCATTTTTTGCCAAGAAGCCCTATATTTACTCCTACTTTGTGTGTAAGAAAAGTGGGACTCAGAAAGGCTAGCTGTCAAAGGTCTCACAGCAACCACAAGGCGGAGCAGAGAGGAGAGACAGCCACTTGTGGGGACGAGGCAGGAAGAGACCAGCAGAGGCAGAAGGGCAGGAAGCAGGGAGCTGGCTCTGACTGCGTGCCAGGTGCTGGGCTGGCACTTGGCAAATACGATCTCGCTTCATGTCTCTGAAACAAAAGGAGACCACATTTAGGTGGGCAACAGAAACAGAGAAGGAAGCCGGCCAAGAGAACAGACATTCGTAAGCCCAAGGTGCCGCTGCAATGATAGATACTGCCAGAAGGCCAAGAATGAGGTGGCCCAAAGGCCATTTGACTCCCGAGACACAGATTTGTGGAGAGAAGGCTTTCCACCACAGATTGCACAAGACCAAGGATAGGTGGGCGGGACGGAAGTGTGGGCAGGATCTGTGACTGTTTCCAGTGAAAGAAGGAGGGGGGCGGCTGGAGGGCAGCCAGGTTTCTTAGGTCAGAGGAGGAAATGTTGAGATGGGTGTGGAGTACACCAGGACCTGGGTGTGGCTTGCCTGCTGGGCCTGCATCCTCTTCCTTCCTACAGAGCCTAACCTGGGTAAACCCCTCAGCCGCTCCACCATCCCTGAGGTGGTTCCCACCCTGCTCAGCACTCCGGCAGTCATCCCTGTCTGCTGGGTGATATCAGCCCCGAGCGGAATGCTGTAGTGACAGATGCCGTGTTCTGTGCCAGGCTCTGCTGGATGCTCTGTGCTCTCGCCTTTCACACTCCGTGACACCCTCAGATGTGCAGGGTATTCCCGAGCTCCTAGCCACATTGGCAAGTCACTAGGCTGTGTGCCTGCGTCTTCTCACGGGGCTGTAGCTTCCTGGCAGAAGGGTTTGTGGTTTCTTTTCCAGATGCCAGTACTAGGACTCCGTCATCCTTCATTCAGTAGTTGAGCACCTGCCGTGTGCCTGGCACGAAGCTGTTGCTGTTGGAGGGGACGTGGGTGTAGAAAACACAGGTTCAGTGTGTCAAGCGCTGTGCTGAGGATTCAAGATTGTTTTGTAGCGGTCTGCAGTGGGCCTTGAAGGTTGGTTAGGAGTTTGCCAAGAATGTGGACGGGAAGAGATGGTCTAGAGTATGGAGAGTGGGGCTGCTAAGGGGACAATGAGAACGGAACTAACTCCATGGGGCTTAATGTGGAGGATGCTGTGAGGCAAGCTGGAGGGGGCATTGACACCAAAGTCTATGCCAAGACTGTAGCTGGTTCCCCAGAAGGAACTGTGGGAGACGGTTGTGCACTGACGTAGCAGACTGGCTTTCAAAGCTCATCGCCCAACATTGGGGCAGATGAATAGCAGGGCCTTAGTGTGCTAGAGCGAGCAGGGGATTGGTCCTGAAATAACCTGGAGTGTGGGAAGGGACTCAGGGGAGGAGCCTACGAATAGCTGTCACCTCGGAGTTTAGCATTCTCATCTCCTGCAGGACTCAAGCTGGTGGCTGAAGGTGTCAGTTGTACCATCTGATCAGTGGTTTCTGTTGCTTTTTATAAGACACCATCTCATGTAGCCCAGGTTGGCCTCAAGCTCACTATGTAGTCAGAACTGGTCTTAAGCCCTTGCCCGTGTTTCTCAAACGTTAGGATTTTAGGTATGCACACATTCCGACGAACAGGATTCTTACTCGCTTTCCATATCCAAATGGTAGCAGCTAATACATTGTTCTGTTTGCCTTAAGGTATCTTAGCAGTCTGTTTCAAATACATCTACCATTTTGTACTTAACACTTGATGTGTTTTATAGATTTATTCTCCTAACCACACCTGTATCACATGTTCCTTGGGGCTGGAGAGATGGCTTAGTGGGTGGAGCCCTTACTGCCCAAGCATGAGGACCTGGGTGCAAACCCAGTACTCTCTGTGTGCCCCATGCACACTGTCACCCCAGCACTGTGACAGATGGAGATGGAGGATTGCTGGGGTTTGCTGGCTGCCAGCCCAGCCCAGGTTCAGTGAGAGACCCTGTCTCAAGGGAATTCGGTAGAAAGTGACATCCTTCTGTGTCTCGAGCGTATGCACGCGGGCGTGCACATCCTTGCACGGGTGCCTACACGGCACACACAGACATGCTGTACCGTCGTGTCCAACAGCAGCTGTGTAATGTTCCACCACACGTACACTCTTGGTCGTTAACCCATCTTCACTGATAAAAAGCTGCCAGGTGGTGGTGGTGGCAGACGCCTTGGGGTCCAGCAGTTCCAGGACAGCCAGGGCCACACACTATTACACTGTTGTAAATCTGTTATTTTATATTGTCAGATAAATTATGTTTTGTTATTTGGTTGTTGTCACAGGGTCTCACTATATAGCTCTGTTTGGCCTGGAACTTAGTATCTAGACCAGGCTGGCCTCAAACTCCCAGAGCTCAGCCCGCCTCTGCCTCTGCCTCCTGGGTGCTGGAATTAAAGTCCTGTGCTACACCACCCGGCATTGTAGAGATTATTATTTTAGACAGGCCTGAAACTACCTCAGCGTCAGCAAATTGCTAGGGCCCCAAGTACCCTACTTTGGATTGACGTGGTCAGATCATCTCTAACAGCCTCACTGTGATATACTAACGTGGTCAGATCATCTCTAACCGCCTCACTATGATATACTAATGTGGTCAGATCATCTCTAACCGCCTCACTGTGATATACTAGTTTTGCTCCCGCCTGGCCTTCTCCTGATGTTTCTTGTCGGCGGTTTCATCTTCTAGTAAATTGCATCTCAACAGAGTTCTGGTTTACATTATGCCTGGCTTATTTTTAAAATTAATATTTTTATTTTATGTGCATTGGTGTTTTGCCTTGGGTGTCAGGTTCCCTGGAACTGGAGTTACAGACAGTTGTGAGCTGCCCTGTGGGTGCTGGGAATTGAACCCAGGTCCTCTGGAAGAGCAGTCAGTGCGCTTAACCAGTGAGCCATCTCTCCAGCCCTTGCCCCCCCCCCCCCATAGCTGTCTTAAGGTTCCCTGTCAGAGGAAGTGAGCTCAGACTCTGTGCCCCGTCCCGCTCAGTCCAGCCCTGCTTCCTTTGCAGACAAGCACGAGACAAAGCTGAAGGGGGTCATCTACTTCCAGGCCATCGAGGAGGTGTACTATGACCACCTACGCAGTGCAGCCAAGGTGAGGCAGCGGGGACCAGCGTGGGATAGCCCCAGGAAGCATGTCACCGTGGTGTTCTGGGCACAAAGGCCTTGAGCCCGGCTTTAGGCTCCGCTTCGCCCTCAGTGTCTTCACCAGTTTTCTCTTCCTTTCTCCCCCCCCCCCCAGAAAAGGCTCTTCCACTTCACTATGGTGACTGAGGTAGCCCTGCTCCACGTGCCGATAACTAGAACTGCTCATATTAACAGCTGCTGTGTCCCCTGACCCCTGACCCCTGACCGCCTCCTCCATCCCTCTAATTTGCGCCAGGCCAGAGAGGAGAGAGCAAGGAGCTCCTGAGGCTTGAAGCCCCCTTACTGCCTTCCTCTCTGGCCTTGACAGCTGGTGCAGCCCTTGAGGTGGACAGTTGACGGGGGAGATGAAGGAGTTGGTGGGGGAAGCGCAGGCACTAGGTTGGAGACAGGAAATTGATAAAAGGAGCTGTCGGTGGCTGAGCCAGACAAGAAACATTGCCCTGTTTCTTGCCAGCCCTCAGACCCCACCTAACCCTGACCTCTGCTCCTCTAGGGTCTGGCCCAGCCTCCTACTTAATAGCCTTTTTCCTGCCTCCTTTTAGCTTAGAGGAGAATCTGCTTCTCACTGGGCAGCTCCTATGACAGATTCTCCTGTATTAACTTTGGAACTGAGGCATGTCCCTGTTAGGGTTGCAAGCAAGAGTTTAGAGAGCCTAATACTGCCATGTGTTAGAATGAAAAATTGTAGACCCCTGTAGACCCCTGGGGACTAGGCTTTGGACTGGTTAAGACTCAGCCTTAGGCCAAGTGGTGGTAGCACACACTTTTAAGCCCAGCACTTGGGAGGCAGAGACTGGATTTCTGTGAGTTGGAGGCCAGCCTGCTCTACAGAGTGAGTTCCAGGACAGAAAAATCCTGTCTTGAAACACCCCCCAGAGACAGCTTTAAAGTCAGGGCTTCCTGAGCCTTCAAGGAGAAAGGCAGACAAAGAGACAGGTGAACAGAGTGTTCTGGGCATGGAGTTTTCACCTTAGCACTTCCTGTCTTGGCAGAGTCCGAATCCAGCCCTCACCTTCTGCGTGAAGACCCATGACCGGCTGTACTACATGGTGGCCCCATCTGCAGAGGCCATGCGCATCTGGATGGATGTCATCGTCACGGGAGCTGAGGGCTACACCCAGTTCATGAACTAACTACCGTGCACGTCCTGGGTTCCCAGGTCAGCCCCAGGACCCATGCCCTGCCACCTGCTGCTTGGCTTGTCCCTGAAGACAGCAGCACACTGGGTACCGGGCCACACAGGGCCAGGATGTGGCAGAGAACCCCAGGGCTTTTGTGCAAGAAGACAAATTGTTCTGTGAGGGGTTCGGTGCTTGAGGGCTGGGCCTGGGTCCCTAAAAGGCCAGCAGAGAGGAGAGGGAGAGGCTTTGTTGCCTCTTGGGAGCCCAGAAGTTAACGGGTTCCTTCTTGGGTCCGGCAGGCCTGAAGAGGTGTGGCAGAGCTGGGCTCTCAACTCTGTCCTGGCACCTGCTCACCCCAGCTTGTTTTCTCTTTATAAAGGACAAATTATGGTACCAGAATCTGCCAAAGATTCCCTTCTCATCTCACCCCTGTGCAGGGGCCTGGGGGGTACTGGGCAGAGCCATGTGTAGAGTTGGGGAACAGCTCAGGCCAGCGCTTCCCAACCCTGTGCCGCCCCTCATCCTCCCAGCTCCGTACTTCTCACTACTCTGCTCAAGGACCAGAGACCTCAGGTGTCATCCTTGAGGTCCAGCCCCATCACCATGGTCTCCATGGTGACTGCTTATCACCACGGTTACACACTAATTGCCATGGCCACTCTGTGGCTCAGCCCACTGCTTCAGCTGTGGGCCACATGAAGGTACGTGCCATCGTCTCTCCAGCCCAGGCCTGGGGGTGTGTCACCTGGCAGGAGGAAACGCCACCTCCCTGTTACAGTCTGTCTCCAGCCCCCAGTCCAGCCTCTCCTTTCCGCTGTGCCTTGCTTAGAGCCAGAAGGGACGGTGTTTGGGGATCCGAGACCAGGGGAACAGCAGCACTGAGGGGAGAGGAAGCTGAGATTCTGCCCTCCTGTCCTGACAGGACCAGTTCCCAATAAGGAAGGAGAGTAGCTCAGGGTGCCCCGAAGGAATCCTGAGCTGTGGGTGGGGAGGGCAGAAGCAAGGCCCTGAGTTGTGGTACCCTCCCTTCAGTTTCCCAGGGGCGATGGGAAAAGAGTGGAGGATCGAGTCTCCAGCTGGCTGGCTTCAGCCTTTACGCCTTAACACTAAGCCACCTCCCTCCCCTCCCCAGCACCGGACCCTTGGTCGCTGGGCCTGGCTGGGTGTTTTGCAGTATTTGTAAGCATTTCAGCAGAACAATAATAAAAGCATTTTGACAAGTACGTGTGTGTGTAAGCCCAGGTTGTATGTGGTTCCCAGTGGGCCGCTTCAGGCATTTGGATTCGGTTTTCCCACGAGTAGGGCTTTCCACCCTAGTGAAGGTAACAGGTAGGAATCCAGTCCCTAATCTTGACCTCCTGATCACTTCTGGCCCTGGTGCACTGAACAGGACAGCTGGGGGGTGAGGGTGGAGCCAGAGGAGGAAGTGCACACAGTGAGGCCATTCTTCTCCTTGTCACTGTAGCAGAAAGCTGATGAGAAGGGCCACCAGGAGGCAGTGGGGGCCCAGGGAAGCTAGCTGGGTTCCTGAGGTCGTCAGCTGGGTTCCTGAGGTCGTCAGCTGGGTTCCTGAGGTCGTCAGCCGGTCACCATAGCGGTTCAAAAGTGTCAGTGCCAGTCCGTTGGTCCAACCAAATCCTTCCTGGAGAGAGGCCAGATCACTAGACTCCCACATCCTGATTTGGGGATACCCTCTTCCCAGTGATTCTGGCCACAGAGGCACCAATGATTACCATTCAGAATCTTTTCTCAGAGGCCCAGTACTGGGCGTCTCAGACCTGAGGGGGACATACATGTCTGGGGACCTCAGATCCCAGGAATTGTCTATAATGGTGTTGACCAGCTTGCTCACCTGAACTTCATACTCCCCTCCTCCACCTGGCTGTCCGCCGTTGGTGATGTCATACTAGGGACAAAAGTATGTGTTATAGGTGGGTACTGCTGCTAAGCCAACCACCCTAGCTATAAGGGGCAACAGCCATGGAAGGAACAGAGAAGTATGCACCAGGCTGCTGCTCAGGCCCCTGCAGTTCCCAAGAAGGGCCACTGGGGGTCGCACTGTACGGGCTGTGCTGTCTTTGGCCTGGCAATGCCAGACACATTTCAACCATGGAACCAGACCCTGGTGAGACCGGCACACCCCAGCCAGCTGCTCACCTTCTCATACATTGCTGACTTTTGGGAGTAGACTTTGAAGTTGGTTCCGATCCAGTTCTGGGCCAGCTGGAAAGCCACCTCCTGAGTCCGGGGGGTCGCTGACTTGGCTAAACCTAAGACCCAACCCAGATAAGGCCTCAGAGACCTCCATCCTGGGAACAGAAGCCCGGGCCTCTGTCTCCCCAGGCAGGAAGGGTGTGTAGGCCTTCAGATTTCTGGACCTGTGGGCCCACATGTTCTTAATCCAGGGTTTGGGATTGGAGGGAAGGAGAGGCGGGCTGGGCCTATCAGCTGCTTGCTTTCCTACCTCTGATGACAAAGTCCTGCAGAGGCGCCCAGGCATTGGGGAAGTCCCATTGCTGGCCTGTGTTGCGAAGAGAGGTCGGGATCCCGTACTGGTAGGTCAAGATATTGTTGTCCTAGAAGATTCCAGCATTGCTGCGTCTGTGGGCGGTGACTGAAGCCAGAGCCAAGCAAGCCAGGCCCTCAGGGAAAGCAGATCTGCCCGTCCCGACCCTTCTCTTCTTGCCTCACGGCTGCTCCCAGTGGCCTCAGCGAGACTTGCAGGCTAAGACGGGCACTGCCAGCAGGGAAGGGAGGGGCCTGCCTCCCGGATGCCAGACCCGCCCACTGTCCCCTCACCTCCAAGTATTTCAGAGCCTTGTCAATGACACTAGGGTCTGAGAAGCAGCCAGTCCAGAGCGGGGTGAGGTTGGAGGGATAAAACTCCAGGTTCTTCTTCCCTTTTTCCGAGTCATAGTCGAACCAGGCTCCTTTCTGCTCGTCCCACAGGATGGCCTCCATGGCGGCCAAGCGCTGGGACCGCAAGTTTCTGTATTTTGTGGCCTCGGCGTCATTCCCTGTGTGGCATTGCCTTTTAGTCTGACCAGCAGGACACTGGGCACTGCCCTTGGGTCCTGGCATTAGATGTTTTTACTTTGCCCTTTTCCAAATGTGGTGTCCACATAGGCTAAGAATCCTGATGACAAGGATTGTGATTCCCCAGCACCCGCTAGAATTCATGGCTCTTTGTACTAATGGCTCCTGCCCAGCTCCCAGGGACAGGCTGGTTTATCTCCCAGGCTCATCATGCTGATGACTCTTGCTCTGAGGGAGCGAAGGGAAACTGGGGAATGGAGAGAGATCTGATGCACTGGAGTGTCCCCTTCCAGGCCCTCGAGGTCCTCATAGAACAAAAGGGACAGTGGTGTGAAGCTAAGGGCAGGCTTCTGAGTCATTCTCTTCCGTCAATGCCTCTCTATCAAGGTGAAGGCTTGAACTGGCTGGGGAGCCCTGCTCCAGTCCCATGGCCAAGGTCGATGTGGGAGCCCACACTGGACAGTCCCCTCACGAGGTGCTCACCTAGCCTAGAGTAGAAGTTACTCATCAGCTCCTCTGCTTGGCACAGGAAAGCATTCAGGTCAACAGGTATCATTTTGCTGGTTCGGATGCTGCTAAGTAAATCAGGGTTTGGGCCTCCGACAAGCCAGCGTGAAGAGAAGTCCCAGCCAGACTCAGCTCCAGCCTTGAGCTCTGCCCACAGAGTCTCTCGGTCCCCTGTAAGGACAGAATAGCAACCCCAAGTCAGCACTGACTGGAGGGGTTAAGCAGCCACAGATGGAAGCCGGAAATATGCAGAGGCTCAGAGCCATCCCATGGGTCCTTCCTCCTCCTGTTCCTGTTTACCTTCCAGCACAGTGTTTGCCAATTCTTCATCCTTGCTGTAGGACTCTGGCCTAGCAAAGAGCAACAGCGTAACATCAACAGGTACCAAGCCACTCTGTCAACCAGAAGGCTCAGTCATCTTGATTCAACCCCCATCTCCCTGACACAGGCACAGCATGAGGTGGCCTAAGGCTCTCAGGGTCACATCTGATAAGCTAAGTCACCCCCTCCAGCTCTAAGTTGTAGAGATGCTCACATCCGAGTGAGCAGACAAGGAACTGATGGCAGGGCCAGTTTCTTACCTGGGTCCCCCATAAGGGACATAGTAACGGTTCAAGATATAGTTTTTTCCTCCTGAGCTCACAGAGAAACTTCTGTTCACGGTCCAGAAGTCCAGTTCCGAGGCCAGGGTTGCAATGTTCTCCCTGGAGTGGGGTAAGCAACACCTCAGACCACATACATAGCCACTGCCCTTGGTCCTGGGGAGTCTCCAGCATAGGATATGCCTGCAGACCAGCATGGGGAGGGTACCCACTGCAGGAAGTTGACGTCCTTGGTGTAAGTCACATACAGATCCATCATGAGAGTCAGGAGTGGGGGCTGGCTCCGTTGCAGGTAATACACACGTCCACCATTGGGGATATGTCCATAGCTGCCAAGAGGGGGTCTGCTTAGATGCTTCCCGACCCAGCACCAAGGCAAGCCCAGCTCCCTGCCTACAGCCCTTCCTTACGTCTTCACCAGATCCAGAAAGTTCTGCAGCATGCCCTTCACTGTTGAGGTCATCTCAGAGAGAAGCAGACCTTCCATCACCCAGTAGGAGTCCCTGGCAGAAGGAGGAGACACACATCATCCAGCCTTCACCCTCTGCCCTGCACACCCATGTTGGAGGGTGCTGGCCCTGGGTTCCCCACCACAACTTACAGCCTCTATGAGCCCATAGCCTCCCAGACATGAACACTCACCAGTAGTAGAATTCAACAAAACGCCCTCCAGGCACAATGAAGGGGTGTTCTGAGTAGATCAGGGAGAACCTCTCGGGGTTCTTGAAAATCTCTGGTTTCATCTGGAGTCAAGAAAGAGGGCACGGGAGCCTAGCATCAGCCAGTGATGGCTGCAGGGGGTGGGGGCAGAGGACCTGGCAGCCCTAGCTGGGGAGGCTGGTTCTGTTGTTCCTTCTACTTTGCTGTGTAGTCTAGGCCAGCTTCTGAGAGTCCCAGTGTCCTTGCTCCCCACTCTCCAGGCTCTGGGATCCTGGCTCAACTTAATGGTATACTGAAGCCCAAGTCACTCAACATGGCATCAGGCAGACAACCACTGGCAGTATCCATTGTTGTGACCCGGATGAAGCTAAGTGGATGAGGCAATGCTAGTAGAGATCTCCCCTAACCTCCCCAATACCCCTGCTGCCACCTGAAGTCAAAGGAGTGAAACACTCTCTCCCAGTCCCCCTTCCAGAATGAAGAAATCCATGATCTTTCCCCAGGCACAGTTGAGAAGATCGGGAGCAGTGAGGACTGGCATGGGTTAATTTAAGTTGTAAGAGCTAGTTAAGCCAGGTGGTGGTGGCGCAGGCCTTTAACCCCAGTACTCAGGAGGCAGAGGCAGGTGGATCTCCCTGAGTTCGAGGCCAGCCTAGTCTACAAGAGCTAGTTCCAGGACAACTAGGACTGTTACACAGAGAAGCCCTGTCTTGAAAACAACAACAACAAAAGAGCTAGTTAATAATAAGCCTGAGCTAATAGGCCAAACAGTTTATAATTAATATAAGCCTATGTGTGTTTCTTTAGGACAAGGGCAGCATTGGGTAGCCCCTAGCTTGGTTTGCATGGGTGGTTCCCTAGAGGAGGTGAGGGGTTAAAGCAGATGTTCCCTCCGTGCTTTCTAGGCTTCTGTTTAGGGATCAGGACTGTGGCATGGCTCTGTCCTACCCCCGGAGCAGTCAATCAGACCATGAAGCAGGCCCAGGACATGTCGCAGGTCTAGGCCACTGCTACCTTCTTTCCCAGGTTCTTCCAGATCTGGTGCAGTTGCCCCGCCCAGTCACGCAGCTTGGCATCTGAGATCTTCTGCAGGAACTGAGGCCTAGAAGAGATGAACCACAGTGTTCAGGGAGGCAGCCCCAAGAGAGGAACCCTGACCTGCCTTCTCTCCAGAGGGGCACCTCTCTTTCCAGTCCTCTGGGATCCAGGGCTCCAGCTCCTGCCCCACAGACTGGAAGTGTGTCTGGACAAACTTCTGAAGCTCTTCCCTGGGGATGCTGTTGTTGTGTGTCATAGCCAGCTGTCTGAAACTCTGCAGCACTTCATCTGGAGAGTAGATGACATCGAGGGGTCAGTGGAGTATCCTGAGACACACCCTGATCAGGGGAGCCTATGCTGCTCCCCCATCTGCCTACTTTAGGTAGAAGGTTCAGGAGAAGGCAAGGTAGTTTTACCTGGAGATGCAGTGAGTGACATATCCACAAACTGCTTGTCATCTTTGTAGAGTTTAGCCATCTGAACTTGGTGCAGGAGTTCCCCATGGCAGTAAATCTGGCTGCAGAGACATTTGTATGGTCAGTAGATGGGTCTGGGGTGTGGGACAGACAATGTCTTCTTCATGTGGCCCTGGCTGTCTTAGAATTTGACATGTAGACCAGGCTAGCCTCCAACTCGGTGATCTGCCTGCCTCTACCTCCTGATTAAAGCCATGTGTTTCTAGGCCTGGCTATGAAAATGCCTTAATAAATCTTTCCCAAGCTGAGTGTGGTGGCATGTGCTTTTAATCCCAGAATCCAAGAGGTAAATGCAGGCAGAGCTCTGAGTTCAAGGTCAGCCTGATCTACAGAAAATTCCAGGACAGCTAGGGCTACACAGAGAAACCCTGTGAAAAAGGAGGAGTAAGTAGACAAAGGGGTATACACACACATGTACACACACGTACACACCTCCCTCCACACACACACAAATTTTCTTTTAGAAAGTCTTTATTAGGGCTGGAGTGATGGCTCAGAAGTTAAGAGCACTGGCAGCTCTTCCAGAGGTCCTGAGTTCAATTCCCAGCAACCACATAGTGGCTCACAACCATCTGTAATGAGATCTGGTGCCCTCTTCTGGTGTGCAAGCACAACACTATATACATGATAAATACATTTAAAAAAAGTTTTTATGGATAAGATTTAATGATTTATAGGGCATATCAAAATTGCTGGCAGATGGCCAGTGACAAACTGAACTATTAAATCACTTTCCAGAAATCACTGTAGATATTAAAAGGGGTCATGAAAGCAGCTATGCCAACTTGAATGTAAATGAAAAGTTCAAAACTCCATAAAGTGCTTCCTTGTAGAACACTGGGGTATGTTTCTTGTGACTCTCCATGGTGGCTTACACTTGCATTCCCAGCACTGAGGCCGGTGGACTGATGACAGTTTGAGGCCAGCCTGGGTTACAGTGACACTTGGGAAGGAGGGAGGGACGGGCTGGAGATGTGGATTGGCAGTTAGAGCACATTCTGGTGATGCAGGTAGCTCACAACCTCTGGTAACCCAGGGGACCTGATGCCCTCTTCTGGCTTTCTGGCTTCTTCTTCTTCTTAAAGACAGAGTTCCTCTATAGCTTTGGAGCCTGCTCTGGAACTAGCTCTTGTAGACCAGGCTAGCCTCGAACTCACAGAGACCCTGCCTCTGCCTCCTGAGTGCTAGGATTAAAATTGTGCGCCACCACTTCCCGGCCCTCTTCTGGCTTCTAAGGACACTGCACTCATATGCACATGCCCAGGTGTGGGAAAGGATGCAGTCCCCAGAGGCCACCAGCAGACCGAATAACATCACATCAGATGGACATGTTGGGAATTGAACCTAAGATCTCTGGAAGTGCTCTTAACTGATGAGGCGCCTTTCTAGTTTCTTGTTATTTTCTGTGTTTGTTTTTGAGACAGGGTTTCACTGTGCCAGCTAGGCTGGCCTTGAACTCACAAAGATCCACCTACCTCTGCCTTTTTTTAAAAAATGAGATGGATTGTTACAGTGCAGCTCAGGTTGATCTCAGATTCTAGATCCTCTTGCCTCAGCCTCCTAGGTGATGAGATTTACAAATGTGTGCCACCAAGCTCAGCCTGGACTTACTCTTGATGAGGAGAAGCATTCAGAGGGAAAGATGTATTAATTATAGCAAACAGATATCTCCCAGGAGGGGAACAAAGGTTGGAAAAGTGAAGTGGAGGATTGGTGTAGGAGGTTCTTCTGTCTATGTGTTGCTTTCATTGGTTGAATAAAGAAACTGCCTTGGTCTTTCGATAGGGCAGCCCTTAGGTGGGCAGAGTAGACAGCACAGAATGCTGGGAAGAAGGGAAGTGTGGCAGACGCTATGGCTCTCCTCTCTGAGACGGATGCTGGTTAGACTCATGCCGGTAAGCCCCAGTCAATTGGCGATATACATTAATGGAGATGGGTTAAAATAATATGTGAGAGTTAGCCAATAGGGGCTGGAGATAATGGGCCAGGCAGTGTTTAAATGAATACAGTTTCTGTGTAATTATTTCTGGGGCTAAGCTAGCCGGGGGCGGGAGCCAGGCGGGACAAAAAGCAGCCCGCCGCTCCTCATTACAACAAAGGATCAGGCCAAGTCCATGAATAATGCTAGATAATGCCAGGAGCCAACCCGGGGGATGGGCACTGTACTGCTCCGGCAGGGCCTCATGGTTATTTAATGAATACTGAGGCCAGGTAATTATGGGCAATGCCCTCTGCCCCAGCTGCCAGGGCTCAAGGGGCAGTCTCATGGTCTTCTACTGTACTCTCTGGAGGCTTACAATATGCACGCACTCTGACCTGCCTTACTCCAAGGGCAGAAGACACACCCCTTAGAACCCCAAGAAGGACAGCTGCTCTTCTAAGGACCCTTGAGGGAGGCCTTGGCTCTGTAATATAACGACACACCGTGGGGACCAGATTTGGTCCAAGCTTGTGAACTGAGATAGGGTGACTGATTTTCTTCCCAACCAAACTGGAGTCCAGAAAATAATGAGCACACACAATTCCCACCCAGTGGCAATGCTTGCACACCATATTTGGCATTTAGAGGAGGCACAGAAAATTCCCCTGTGATTTTAGCAGACTTGTCTATAAGGAAGCTGAATGTCACTGTGATGTGGTGGGATGTTGACATCGGTGGGAAGTTTAGCTACCTAGTATGCGTGACTTGTTTGGTGACACTGGTACTGATGGTCTCAAATACACGGGGAGATGGAGCAAGACATCCCCTGGACAGAGTGCCAGGGAACAGGCTGGCCTGAGAAGACCCGTAGTAGCTTCTGAACTAAGTAGTTCCACCAAGTTTGTTCACCTAACTCACAACCACAGATCTGGGAGGGCTATCGAGTTAGTGGAAACATATCCGAAGACGGTAGGAAGCCAGATTGGTTGTTTCTCTAAATCCATACCAGTCTTCATCAGCGCTTTCAAATCCTCCCATAATCTGACTGATCCCATAACTGTGTATGTAAGTTCTATGATAAGTGGAAATGTCCAGATGTATAGAATGGTGCTGTTGTAAAAGTCTTGGCCAACGACCAGGAGAGTTGGCTCGGCCGTTGAGAGCGTCTGCCGCTCCTGCAGAGGGCCTGAACTCAATTCCCTGCACCTACATGGCAAATCTCAACTGTCTCTGACTGCAGTTTCAGGGTGCTGACCCCCCTCTTCTGGCCTCCACAGGCACTGCATGCATGTGGTGCATTTACATTCCTAAACATAAATTAATAAACAAACAAATAAATAATAAAGTATGGGCCAGGCATGATGGCACGCATCTTTTAATCCCAGCTCTTGGAAGGCAAAGGCAGGCAGATCTCTGTGAATTTGAGGCCAACATGGTCTACACAGTGAGTTCCAGGACAGCCAGGAGTGTATAGAGAGATCCTGTCTCAAAAAAACAGTGGTAGTACCTGTCTTTAATCCTAGCACTTAGGAGGCAGAGATAAGCGGATCTCTGTGAGTTTGAGGCCAGCCTGGTGTCTACACAGTGAGATCCAGGACAGGCTCCAAAGCTACAGAAATAAATAAATAAATAACCCTGTCTCAGAAAACAAAAATAAACCAAAATTAATTAATTAATTAAAAAAAAGAATCTTGGCTGAGGTCAGAACAGCTGTGAAGTGGGCAGTTCAGTTCAATACTAATTAGGTTTCACATGTATAAGGTGCAATCTAATAAGCCCACCCTCACTTCAGACACCAGTTATAAATTTGAGGGTCTTTAGGCTGCTTATAGTTTGAAGCAGCTGGCTTCAAATTGCAAGCCTGGGAAGTAGAAAAAGACAAGATCTCCTGAGTAAATTGGGAGCATAGGGACCATGGAAGAGGATTGAAGGGAAAGGGAGAGGCAGGGAGGGAAGCAGAGAAAAATGTAGAGCTCAGTAAAAATCAATTTAAAAAACCTTAAAAACAGACAAACAAACAAACAAAAAATCACAGGCCCATGGGAAGTTTTACAGGAAGGCTGCTAGTCACGGCTTCATTTCCTTGCTCGGGAACCGCCCTGGCTCCTGGCGCATGTAGCCACAATCCTGCTACGGGGACCAGGGCGTGAGGTAAGAGGGGACAAGCTCAGATGATAAGGAAACAGTAGCTGTACTGTTCCCTTCCCCCCAAGAACGGGCTGGTCAGGTCAGCATCCTGTACCTGCTCTCTAAATCACCCGGAAAAGCAGAGGCCTTCAGAGCTCCCCAAAGGCTGAGTGTGAGCACACACGTGTGAAGGTGTGCAAGCCAGCCTTTCACATCTTTTATTTTCTCACCGTTCCCTGCTGTACATGACAAATGTCTTCACTGCCGGTCCCAATTCTCCTACTTCTTAATTACGCCATAACTCAGCATCTCATGCATCCTGGATTGGCCTTGAGCTAGAAATGGAGCCAAAGGTGACCTTGAATTTCTGATTCTCCTGCCTCCACCTGCTGAGTAGTGGGATTATAGGAATGAACCACTCTGTTCCATTCATTCAGTGCTGGGGTCAGCTTACTCCATGATAGACAGATGCTCTATCAACTACACCGTTATCTTTCTGCCTGACCATTATGGACCAGACCTCTGCTCAAGAGTTGGTGAAATAAAAATTCAATGACAAAAGGTCTCATGGAGTTGAGTTCTTATTTCCTTCAATTAAAACAGCATGCTCCACGTTCACCTTTGAACACACATTCGTAAGACAAACTGAGGGTGTCTGTAGGGAACAGCCTCTCCCAGAGAGCATTATTCCAACATTTCCCAGGATGCCATAGTCTTTCAGGTGTCCACAATATCTCGTGCCCTTTAGTTTTGGAATATCTGATAGTAAGCTACTAATTAGCTCACTGGCTAGAAATTTTCCAGTCCAAAGTATCAACAGTTATGCCGGTAAAGTATTCAAAGGCTACTGGTTCAAGGCTCGATCTTTGCTCTGCAGTACGTGAGCAATCCCTTTGGAGTGGTGGTACGTGCCTATAATCCCATACTCAAATGGGTGAGGCAGGAGGACTGAGAGTTGGCAGTCAGCCTGGACTACACAGCAAGACTCACGGAGCCATCTCGCCTGCCCTAGTTTAGATTTTGAGGTAGGGTCTCACGCAGCCCAAGGTGACCTCCAACTTGCTGTATAGCTGAGGATGGCCCTCAGACTGACTGAATTTGTAATTCTCCTGCCTCCACCTCCCTCGTGCTGGGTTTGGAGGTAGGTGCCACCATGCTTTGTTTATACAGTTCCGGGATCAAACCCAGGGCTTCACTCACGCCTAGGGTAGGTCCTTTACCAGCTAAGCTACATTCCACGTCCTAGAGTGGGTGTGCACATGGGTGTGCACATAGGTGTGCATGCACACACATGTGAGCAGGTGTCCAAGGAGTCAGAGAGAATACTGGATCACTTGGAGCTGGAGTTATAGGCGGGTACGAGCTGCCAGTAATGAGCGCCAGGAACTGAACTCCAGCCTTCTGGAAGAGTAGTGTGTATTCTTATATACTGATCCTTTTCTCTACCCCTGCTTTTTCTTACTGGTGTCCTTTGCTTTATGCATCCGAGAGTCAGTTCCTTAGGAATTGAATCTATCATCTTAAAATCCCACCACTAACTTACCACAGCACAACTATTCTGCTTGTTTTCTTGTTCATTTGTTTTGATATGTAGACTTGACTATTCTGGAACATATTATGTGGACCAGGCTGGCCTAGAACTCACAGAGGTTCACCTGCTTCTGCCTCTTTTTTTCTTTTCAAGACGGGGTTTATTTGTGTAATAGCCTGACTGTCCTGGAACTCATTTTGCACAGGTCTGCCTGCCTCTGCCTCCTGAGTACTGGGATTAAAGGTGTGCACCGTGTGTGACTGGCACAAGTATCCTTCAGTACCAAATTGACCCTGGGGTCACCTAAGAATGAAAATGTCCTCAACACACACACACACACACACACACACACACACACACACACACACACACACTGCATGGGTGCTCTGTGTGTACACCTACAGGCCAGAAGAGGGCATCAGATCCTATTACAGATGGTTGTGAGTCACCATGTGATTGCTGGGAATTGAACTCAGGACCTCTCAAAGAGCAGTCCGTGCTCTTAACCTCTGCTCTGGTCCGTCTCTCCAGCTCATCACCTGGCCTTTTGTTCTTTCATTTTCCGAACAGTCTCCTAAGGGCTTGGTTTCATTCTCCTAAATCACACACTAACACCAATTGCAATTTAATTCTGGCACAAGCACCTGGAGACACACAGATTACACACGTGGGTTAAGAGAACAGCCCTTCCTTTATGACGAGTACAGCTGTAAGCTTAGGGGGGGTCCTCATGCTACCTCACTGTGTATAAGTACAGGGGTTCCCATGGTCTCCTCAGATTCCATTATTTGCTAGAACCCAGAAAATCACTATGTTTGTGATTGTACTTTTTTTTTTTTTTTGAGACAGGGTTTCTGTGTGTAGCTCTGGCTGTCCTGGAACTCACTGTGTAGACCAGGCTGGCCTCGACCTGACTCCCGAGAGTGCTGGAGTTAAAGGTGTGCACCACCACCAAAGGTCCCAGTTTCTAGACATATTCTTGTGTTTCTGGAGAGGCTGGCCCCATCTTGAGGCACCCTGGAAGTGCGAGCTCCCTGGGGACTTGCCACAGGTCACCTTATTTTCATGAGCCGTGAAGGCCCAGGAAGAGCAACAATGACAGACTTGTGTGAGAAATTCCCAGGGCTTAGAGATAACCTGCCACCGCACAAGAGCTGCATTCCCAGCTGCGCCTCGCCAAGCCCCTGAGCCACCCGAGAGCGCAGGGCTAAGACGCCAGAACTGCTGCCTGGTGGGTGTGTGCATGGGACTTGGAGCACACTGGGTATCTTAGATGAATGCTGTGACTTATGGTGGGGACAACAGGCCACACAATATCAGTTTAACCTTTGGAGACCCGGAGAGGTCCCTGTGAAAGACCCCCAAAAGACACTCAACACTGAGGCTCAGGGAGCCTCCTGATGGGCAGTTCTGCATGTGCCCGTGCCCTGGGAAGTGCACGGAAGGTGGAGTGTCTCCTCTCCGGGACTCTGCCCTGTTCATTTGTACCTTCAGTGGCTCTCATCCCCTCGCACACACGTGACTACCCAAGTAGAGCAGTGACGTGCCAGGGACAAGCAGCAGGCGCTTGCGCTACACTCTCTGTAAACATCCTAACAGGACTCAAGAGTCTGGATCAAAGATCCATCCTGAAATCCCGACTACGCTGATCAGACAAGTCCTACTAATCATTCCAGACCCTTCCTTTCCTTCCGTACTCCACAGCTGGTCACCAACAAGTCTCCACAACTCAGTCTTCAAAACGCCATCCCTTACAGACTCTGCCCCACCCGAGTCCTGCCGCCGGAGCATGGACACGGGTATCCTTCTCCCTTGAGCTCTCACCACCTAATGTCCTGTTCCTCCTTCCATCCTTGCCACATGGACTTTGTGGCCACTGGAAGACACCTAGGGGCCTTTGCGCTGCAGACTGGCTGTCCCCTTCTGCTCCTTCTGCGGTACCGCTAGTTCATTGCCTCCTCCGAGACCCCTCCCCCATCTGAACACCCTCTGTTTACTCCTTGCTGAGCTCCCCGGCTTCTCTTGGCTTTTCTCCCTCCTAGGCTCTGTTTTTACCCTTCTTTCAAGAGCTGGTGCTGTGGAAGTGGGGTGAGAACTTCTTGAGTCCATGTGGAAGAGGGAATGGCAGCCGCCACGTCCAGGAAGCAGAATGGTACCCTCATCTGTGTATTTGCCGGTAGAAGCTTGGGCTCAGAAAAAAAGGTTTGACTTGCCCTGGGGCACAGAGAGAGCGGCAGGGTTGGCTGAACCTAATGGTCTCTTGACAGGTCCTAGGCTCCCCTCATACCAGGATAAGAAAGGTTTGCTAGAACAATGAAAGGAACGGCCCTGATCAGTCGAAGGAACAGCTTGGATGGTGAACTTTGGCCAGCAACACAGAAGGAGGGCTGTGGTCAACAGCTCTGGGGTCACCCCAACACAGTAAGTCTGGTGTCTGGCACAGGACCTACCCCACAGGCCCAACTTCCTTTCCCTCTGAGAGGCTGGCCCTCAGAGGGTGAGCCCTCATCCCAGCCTTCCACCCCTGCCTTCCTTTCTACATTGCGCTTCCCCCAACTCCTACCTCTCACAGGGTGGCGGCAGGGCCTCCTGGGACCTGAGTCCCAGTCCCAACAGAAGCAGCAGGTACAGCACCCACATCATCCCGGGTCTGGTGGCTGTGACCGGAGCTGAAAGAGCAAGCCCTGGCTCCTCTGGCTTGCTGAGCACAGTTATACTTGTCTACCCTGGTCAGGCAAAGTCCAGGCCATGAGGTGTGGCCACCCGAGGAGAGATGTGGAGGTGTGTGCCGTTGTTGTCTTGTGCCATTGGCACTTCTGCTCCCCAGTCACAGTGGCCACTCCCTCATCAGCCACCATTAGTGTTCGTTCCTTCCACTTCTCAATCCCAGCTGATATCACAAGTCAGGGACTTTCCTCAGAGTCCTATGGGTGGGCACCCAAGGGCCAGGGCCCCAGTTGAGGTCACCCATGTATGAGTTAGACACAGAGTCTGTGTGTGGCTCCCAAGTCACTAATGTCAGAAGGGACTATTTCTTTGAACATTTTAAACAGTGACTCAGGTCTCCAATGTGATGTCAAACTCACAGTGTACAGGAGACACTGTGGGGACACAGGACAACCTTTCAGGGGATGGGTCAGGAAGCTCCGCCATAGGGTGATGCCAGCAGTGAGTCTTGAGGAATACAGTCAGAATGCCATGCCACCATATGGGGCATCCAGAGACGTGGCATCAGTACAGGGGAGGTTGTGTGACAGGCTGAAGGGACATGTTGGCACCAGTTAGTGAAAGGTTTTGCCAAGATACAGAGGCATTCAGTTCCCCAAAGAGAACCAACGAAAGATGTGGGCTGAAGCATCAGGGTTAGGCATTCAGAAGTTCATGCCTTCACGTGGCGGCAAACAAGCCGTGAGGAGAGGAGGGCTGTTAGAGACACAGAGACCTTGGGAGGCTCCTGTAAGGGCACAACAGTGTAGGCCGTCCAGGTCTGAAACGGGGGTGGGGGTGGGGGGAGGCACAGGGATGGGGGGAGGCGGCACAGAAAGGAGCTTACTGGCAGCTGTCACTTCTGAGCTCTGTGGTTGGCCTGTCCTTTCCTGCAGGGCTGAGGCTGGCGGCCATCTGTGTTTGTCACTGCTGGAAGATAAACCAGACAAATTACATTGAGTTGTGTTTGCTTGAGCAGAGGAGGACTCAGGACCCAGGCAGCACTTGAGGCACGAAGGGCTAGAGAGAGTTAGCCCGCTGCCTGCAAGGCAGGTTTATGAACAGCCAGAGGAAGCGATGTCAGTGAGAGCGCTTAGCCACCGCACAGTTGCCTGGTGTGGACTGAGAGCAGGTCTCGGCCTGTGATTGGCTACCTGTGAGGAGCTTCCCTCCAGTTAGACTAAGCTGATTTCTCACTGAGTTTGCTTATAGTTTGTAGGGGGACAAAGTAGCTTTAGGCCAAATGTAATGAATGATTCAGCCTCTCAATTTTAAGAGACTGACTTAACTCCTTGGACCCAGACATCACTTTTGGTCACCGTCCTAAGGGACTTCGCTGGCCTTAGTATGGAATTCACTATTCACAATGTCAAACTGACTGCTTGATAATTCTTCCCAGGGATTTTGCTCGTCTATTCAGATAGGATTGTATTGGTGTGGACAAGATGACTGCCGTGGAGCGCTTAGCACTCTGGCACGGAACGCCAGAAAGATTATTATGGTGGGCATCAGGAGGATCGTGCCAGGAAGCTGAAGGGCAGCCATCCACAGGGGCCTAACTCTTCAGAGTCAAGCAATTCAAAGTTCAGACAATGAAGATGGTCGAACTGTGTTCTGATCCAGGAAGCCACAGTCTATGCTCAGGGCCTGGTTGTGATTACAGAGCCATGGCTTGCTGTAAAATGGCCTGAGAGGAGGCGCCATCGTCTTGTGGTTAACTTGATATAACACATGTCACAGAATCCCTGAATGCCATCGTTCTGCTTTGGATCTGAAATGGTCCCTCAAGCTCATGTACTGAAGCCTCGGTCCCCAAATACAACAGTGTTCAAAGATGCGCTTCCTCTTGGGAGACGGCTGGATCATGAGAACTCTGACCTTATCAGTGCTTCTGTGACTAGAATAGCTTAACATCGGGAGGGGGTGGGAACTGTAAGGTGGGTCCCGGCTGAGGGAGTGGGCACTGGGGATGTATCCATAAATGTGCTTCCCCTTTTTGTCTCATCATAGATGCCAAAGCAACTGGGAGAAATATAAACTAAAACTCCTAGCTGGGTGGTGGTGGTACACTCCTTTAATCCCAGCACTTGGGAGGCAGAGACAGGCAGATCTCTGTGAGTACGAGGCCAGCCTGGTCTACAAGTGCTAGTTCTAGGACAGGCTCCAAAGCTACAGAGCAACCCTATGTCCCCCGCCTCCCCAAAGTAACATTTGAAAATATGAGCCAAAAGAAACCTTCCCTCCTCTTTTTTTTTTTTTAAATACATGTTTTTTGAGACAGGATCTCACTATGTAACCTTGTCGTGTGGAACTCACTATGTGGACCAGCCTGGCTTAGAACTCGTAGAGATCCATCTGCTTCTTCTTCCCAATGTCTAGAATTAAAAAGAGTTCACCACACACACCCCCACACACCTCCTCCTTTGAACTGAATGGTTCCAGGGATTTTGTTATAGAAATGAAAAGCTCATACCCACTAAAAGATACAGAAAAGTTCAGAAGGGAGCCAGGCATGGTATGCAGTCTCAGCTATACAGGAAGTCTGAGGCTAGCCTAGGCTACATTAGACCCTGTTCAAGTGGAAGAGTCAAGCAGGGTGCCTGCAAACTGGCTCTTAGCTGCTCTTAGAAACACTTCGCTCGGCTGGAGGGATGGCTCAGCCGTTAAAGGCTAGACTCACAACCAAAAATATAAGAAACGCTTCGCGACGTGGATCCCAGCACTCCCAAGGCAGAGGAAGGCAGATCTGTTTGAGTTCAGGCCAGGATAACCAGGGCTAAATAAAGAGACCCTGTCTCAAAACAAACAACTTCCCATGCTCCCTTTCTTGAGAAATTTCCTTGAGAAGTGTGCCTGGTGACAGGATCTATTAAAAAAAAAAATGGCAGTTTGTCACTCTGGTGGGGTGTAAGACGGTTCCGCAGGGAAAAACACATGCTGACAAACCAGACGATCTGAGTTCAATCCCTAGAACTGACTTGTTCACACATATGCACAAACTGAGAGCCCTTGAGCACACACATGCATACATACATAGACTTGATATAATTGAAAATTTAAATTTAGCTTTTGTAGCACTCATACTTGGGTCAAGATAAATTTTACATCAGTGTTGCTCAACGGACTATGCACAAACTGCAGACATGGGCAGAGGAGTTCCGTTGACACACACCATTTCGTTCCATGCTTTTATCGGGCATAAATGTTCCCGTCTGCTTCGTGGAGACCACTTCCTAAGTAAGCCTCTGGGGGTCTGATTGGCTACCAAACCCAGAATTTCCTCTAATTTACAGATTCGCTCCTGGTTCACTAAGTGACCTTGAACTCAAAATCCTCCTGCCCCAGCCTTCCAACTGCTGAGACTGTAGGCACGCGTCACCGTGCGGGGCGCTTGGCTGGGCTTCGGTCTCACCCCTAACCAGCACACCACTCGCAGAGCGTATGTATCTTCATCTATTTTGAGATCACTACTAATTTTGGTTGGTGACTATTTCATTTCCTGTTTATGGGGGCTGTAATGATTTCCTGTTTATGGGGGCTGTAATGGGCACTTCGGGGACTATGAGCAGGAGCAAGACCTGAAGCAACAAGAAGGCAAAAGGCAGTGAGCAAGTTCCTCCCTAGACTTAGGGTAGGCCTTCAGGGGCTGAAGACAGCGCCACCTAGTGGTCTCTGGGCGGAGTTCTGTTAAGTTTGTTTTGGGTCTGGGGAGCCCTGAGCAAAGTCTAATGGGAAACTTGATTGTGATCTCTCTCTCTCTCTCTCTCTCTCTCTCTCTCTCTCTCTCTCTCTCTCTCCCTCCCTCCCTCCCTCCCTCCCTTCCTTCCTTCCTTTCTTTTGTCTGTTTTAGTTTTTCAAGACTGAGTTTCTCTGTGTAACAACCCTGGCTGTCATGAAATTCTCTCTGTAGTCCAGACTGGCCTCAAACTCACAGAGATCCACCTGACTCTGCCTCCTGAGTGCTGGCATTAAGGTCTGCAGTGAGCTACCATCGCCGGGCAATAATGGATTCTTGATTACATGCTGCAAGGGCCATTAGGTCTATTAGTTGAAAGAGACTTTGTTGGATATAATACAGTGACATATATGTTTTTAATTTTTCGAAATAGGGTTTCTCTGTAGTTTTGGAGCCTGTTCTGGAACTAGCTCTTGTAGATCACGTTGACCTTGAACTCACAGAGATCTGCCTGCTTCTGCCCCCCTCCCCCAGTGCAGGGATTAAAGGCGTGTACTGCCACTGCCCGGCTTAATACAGTGATTTTACATAAGCAATCACTCATACCGATACAAGCGGTCTCCAGGTCCTTAATGCCTGGAAGCACAGAATACCTTTGTAAGCCTCACACAGACAGGGTGTGTATGTTTGGTAGCAGCTAGAGTAACAGTAGAAAATTTCAGGGTATTGTATTAATTCATTTAAATTACTCTAATGAAATACTTGAGGCCGTCAACTTATAAAGAGAAAAGGGTTATGTTTGGTTTATGGTTCTAGAGTGACCCAATCTTTGGACCATTGGTGAAAGTCCAAGGTTGAGTGAGCCTATTACTCTGAGCCTCCGGTGACATGCTGGCAAGACCATATGGAACAGAGTACTGACGTTGTAGGCCAGGCCACATCAACACTGGGAGACTGGTGTGCCTGTCCTCAGTGCCCTGAGGACATTTTCTAGGCCTCACCTCTTGAAGCACCTCCCTCTGACTTTCGTTGCTGTTAGTAGCGGTGTTTTCTTGCTTTATTTTTTGAGACTTTGTTGTAGGAATCCATTCAGCCAATTACCTTTTGGGGGACCGGCCCTTTGGGCATGGTCTAAGGTTCTCCATGTCCGCCAATAAGCTGTAAGAGAAAGTGCACTCGCTCTCTTGCTCTGGGTCTCTCTTAGTACGAGGGGAGACCCAGGGCAGCTGAGAGACAGTGCAGGATCAGTGATGACTTCTGCCCTTTCTCTGTATTTGTGAGTTTGTCCCCTTTTCCTTGCAAACCTTTGATAAATAAGTTCTATCTACCTCAGTGTGGTTATGCAGTAAGACTGGGTCTCACGTGGTTTAGCCTGGCTTTAAAGTCACTATGTAGCAGAGGCTTGCTGGCCAGCTCCCAGGCTCCTTCTTAGCCCTCTTACACTGTTCCTGGTCATCAGCCCAGGGCATGCCCCCCCCCAGTGGACTGGGCACTCCTACATCAAGTAACAACCAAGACAATCCCTCACAGACTTGTCCACAGACCTATCTGCTTGGGCGACCTCTCAATTGGGACTTCCTTCTCAGGTGACTCTAGGGTGAGTCAGATTGACAGTTAAAGCTGACTAGGGCAGATCCAAACTGACCATGGACCTAGTTTAGCAAATCTTGCTCAAAATCAATGACCTCAGGAAACAATTTTGTGGAGCTTGATTTTATTTTATTTGAGACAGGGTCTCTGTAGCTTTGGAGCCTGTCCTGGAACTAGCTCTTGTAGACCAGGCTGGCCTTGAACTCACAGAGATCTGCCTCCCTCTGCCGGGATTAAAGGCGAGCGCCACCACCGCCCCGCAGAGCTTGACTTTAAAAGAGAACTCATCCATGATGCCAGGGGCTGTAAGAAACCGAAGGGCACAACCAGCCCCAGTGACGCTCTCCTTTCTCTCTCAGGGTGACATGGCAATGCCCAGTTACTCTACAGTGAAGGAGTCTTGGTGAGGCTTCCTTCTTCTGTCGGAATGAACTCCTCACCTGCCTTCCTCCCCAGCACCATACCCTTGAGTCTGTGGGGTACTTTGGGCAGTGGGGGCTCATTCATTCCCAGAATGGGACTTGAACACTAGAAAAAGCTTCAGGAAGCACCCACCCATGTCCCAGCCCTGACCTCCAAGCACTGCCTACTATAGTAAGCACCCAGCACACTATGACAGAGGACAGTGGGAGGGGGACAAAAGGTTAATAATGTAGAACTTGGAGCCAGAGGAGGAAGCAAAGGCGCCCAGGTGGTCAGGGAGACTACTCCTACAGGCATCATGGCAGGAAGCTTAGCCGGGTGGGCGGTGGTGGTGGTGCACACGACTTTAATCCCAGCACCCGGGAGGCAGAGGCAGGCATATCTCTGTGAGTTCAAGGCCAGCCTGGTCTATAGAGTGAGATCTAGGACAGGCTCCAAAACTACACAGAGAAACAACGTCTCAACAACAACAAAAAAAGAAAGAAAGAAAGAAAAAAGAAAAAAAGAAAGGAAAAGAAAATAGACTCAGACAGTGCAGTTCAGGAGTTCTGGCTGGATTCCTGAGGCCAGCCAGTGACCACAGTAGTCCAAGAATGATGTAAGAGGGTCTTCTTTCTATGTGTTGCTTTCATTGGTTAAATAAAGAGACTACCTTGGCCTTTTGATAGGACAGCAGCTTAGATAGGCGGAGTAGACAGAACAGAATGCTGGGAGAAAGAAGGCAGAAATTGAGAGCCACCATGGAGCCAGCTGCCAGGTCAGACATACTGAATCTCTCCCAGTAAGCCACAGTCATGTGGTGACATACAGATTATTAGAAATGGGTTAATCAAGATATGAGAGTTAGCCAATAAGAGGCTAGAGCTAATAGGCCAGGCAGTAATTTAATTAATGCAGATATCCATGTGATTATTTTAGGCATAAGCTAGCCGGGAGCTGGGTGGCTGGGACACAGCCCGCCGCTGCTCCATTTAGAAGAGTGGAGCCAGTGTTAGATAGATATACGTAGACTTGGGAGAGAGAAGAGAAAGAGTATTAAAAAGTCATAAAGTAAAGTTAATGCTTAAAAAAGGGTAAAGTCTTTAAAGAGACAGAATAAAGTAAAGTGATAGAGTAAAAATAAGCCACGTAAAAATGGAAAATTCACAGAGAGCCTGGATTCTTTGTATTATTGTATTTTCTTTGAATTTTTTGACTGTGAAGGAGCTAAATACAGAGAGACATTTCATTATATGGGCTGCCAAGCTAAACCAGAATGGATATCATAAGAGTATTATGACTTCAGAATTTGGATCTAAAAATATGATGCTTTGGAAAAGAGGGTCTTTTGTTTTCACAGAGGATGAGACCCTGTGGATTGCTTCTATACCAATATGGTATGATAGACCATGTCCTCCTGATAGGTTGCTATGAACACCTTCAGAAAATTATTTCACTCAACTGCTGACTGAGATGAACCTGGCACACAGGATACACCATAAAAGACCTGATTAACAGCGCCCCCATACAGCAGGATGCAGTTTGGAGAGAAATAACTGTGCCCATATTCCCAAATATTGTTTATAAATGTTCTTTTACATTTAAAGGAGGATATGATAAAAATATAAATAATTTGCATTGGTATAAATCTTGGTTTATTGATATAAATTTAAGGTCTATCTTATTATATATATATGCTTTTCTGCTCTTGATTAAGGTATTGTGATTGTGTAGTTCATTTAAAAATATAATGTTTTTAATTAAGAAATATAGGTTGTTAATGAATAATCATCAATGATAGTCAAGCTTATAGTCATGTTAGATTTTCTAGATACATAGAGATATATTTCAGTTAAATAGGCATTCTTCATATCTTTCAAAGACTATAGAATATGGCATTTAAATGTTTTAATAACTTAGGACTTTTCATGACAATGAGACACATCTGCTCCTGGTGGCACCAATCTACTTCAAGAGGAAGATGGGCCTCGAAGAGGCTCCTATGGAGTTTCCTAGCCATTTGGGCAAGAAACTGCTCTTGCCTGGACTGTTGCATAAACTGGACACAAAGAACCTGCAGAGAGAGGACTGCTGAACTTGCCTAAAGGTGAGATGATCCTTCAGGGTTCCTGATTCATGAAAGAGTCTGTGAGATATTCTGCAGGATACAAAAGAAAGTGACTGAAGTGTCTTTGAAATTTCCTGCTTCATGGAAAAGTCTGCTGGATACTATGGGCCTGAAGGCTGAGGATGAATGCCCCAATGATACAGAGGAGTCTTTGATGGAGTTGAAGAATGAATAGATAGTTATAGTTTTCTTTAGTTATGATAAAAGATAAAGTAGATATAAATATTGTGACTATAATTCTTGCTTGAAAACTGTTTTGTTATATTAATTTTACTATGTTAAAGTTAAAGCCTTCCTTTTTGTTTAAACAGAAAAAGGGGAAATGATGTAGAAGGGTCTTCTTTCTATGTGTTACTTTTATTGGTTAAATAAAGAGACTGCCTTGGCCTTTTGGTAGGACAGCAGCTTAGCTAGGCAGAGTAGACAGGACAGGATGCTGTGAGAAAGAAGGCAGAGACGGAGAGCCACCATGGAGCAAGCTGCCAGGTCAGACATGTCGAATCTCTCCCAGTAAGCCACAGTCATGTGGTGACATACAGATTATTAGAAATGGGTTAATCAAGATGTGAGAGCTAGCCAATAAGAGGCTAGAGCTAATGGGCCAGGCAGTAATTTAATTAATACAGATCTCCGTGTGATTATTTTGGGCATAAGCTAGCCGGGAGCTGGGCGGCCGGGACACAGCCCACCATTGTTCCGTTTACAACACAAGAGTACTAAGGTCTAGCTAAATTCTTCCTGGAGAGTGGCCAGACCAGTGAGACCAGACTTCTGAGGGCCCCAAGTCCTGTTCTGGGGGGTTCTCTCTCCTGAGATGTAGCTCAGGGTATACCAGTCACCATTCAGGATTTTCCCATGGGCCCACATACCTTACTCCCTGAAGCCTCAGAAGGTTGTATGTTCTGGAGAACAACAGATCCAAGCACTCACCCTGGATGTTCACCTGAACTTCATAGTCTTCTCCTCTACCTGGATGTCCACTGTCACGATGTCACACTGAATTGGCTGGTCTTGTAAGTCAACTTGACACAAGGAAGAGTCATCAAAGAGGAAGGAGCCTCAACTGAGGAAATGCCTCCATGAGATCCAGTTGTTAGACATTTTCTCAGTTAGTGAGCAGCGGGAGAGGGCCCAGCCTATGATGGTGCCATCCAGGGTTCTATAAGAAGGTGGACTGAGGGCTGGAAAGATGGCTCGGAGGTTAAGAGCTGCTCTTCCAGGAGTCCTGAGTTCAATTCCCAGGAACTACATAGTGACTTACATCCATCTATAATGAGATCTGATGCCCTCGTCTGGCAGGTAGGCATACATGCAGACAGAATACTGTACACGTAATAATTTTAAAAAAAAACTAAAAATATTTTTTACAAAAGAGGATGGACTGAGCAAGCCAGGGAAAGCAAGTCAGTAAACAGTTCCCCTCCATGGACTCTGCATCAGCTCCTGCCTCCAGGTTCCAGCCCTGCTTGAGTTGTTGTCCTGACTTCCTTCAGTGATGAGCAGCAATGTGGAAGTTACTATAAGTCAAATAAACCCTTTCCTCCCCAACTTGCTTTTTGGTCACGGTGTTTTGTCGCAGCACTGGAAACCCTAACTAAGACTCGTACTGAGGACAAGCAGTTGTATAAGGGTGACCCGACCACCCCCGCCCTGCAATGAGTTGTTGGTCAGGGAGCTTCCTTTTGCTGGCTAAACTTCATAGTTTGGGAAGGTGCTATGCAGATTTCTGGGAAGGTCTTACTCAGCTGTGGACTCTGGATACTGTACCAGTGATCAGTCAGGCAATCTGTGCCCATGGCGAAATAGTGGCAGATATGATGTAGGAGTAACCAACGGCTACCTGATTAGACTTGAAGTCTGTGACCCAGGAAGGAATTTATCTGATGCTGAGAACCTGGTCAAAAGCCCTGGGCTGGGGAAGCGATAGGGCCTGCTGGGGAAGCTACAGTTGTTTGGCGAGATGGACATGCTATGCCCAAGATATCGCCCTTGGAACAATGATGTTTACCCCTCACTAATGCTTCTGCCGCAGACGTTTCATTGTGTCTGATTGTTTGGTTTTGAGACAGGGTCTCTCCACATAGCCTTGGCTGGCCTGGAACTTGTTATATAAACCAGGCTGGCTTTAAACTCAAAAGATCTACCTGCCTCTGCCTCCTAAACGATGGAATTAAAGGTGTGCACCACCCCTCCTTAGTCTAGAGAACCTTTTTTATGCTGTGGGCAGCAGCAACTGCAGGCGCAGAACTGGTCAAAGTGTGAGACTAAGTGACTCTTGAGCACTCAGCCATAAATGTCACCGATGCTAAGGCCTAAGAAACCCCAGCTGTAAGAGCTGGAGGGTGGCTGAACGGCTGTCAACAGTCACCTTCCAGCTAGGATGTGGCTGCTGCTCTCTTGAATTCATAGCACAAAACCTGGACTGGGCCTGTCAACATCCTGATGTGGAGGAGGAGGGACACACAAGGCTCCAGACTTCCCTGAGGGCTTAGGGAGCAAGATGCTTTCTTTAGTAGCGTAGCCCTGGTAAGGTGCCTGTGTTCCTGTAAAGAATCTCTCATTTCTTTCTGCTCCAGTAAGTGATGCTAATGAAACTCAATGAGTCATCTGAAAAGGAGGCCTGAAAGTGAAAGAAAGACTAGTTTGGAAGAGGAAGGGCGTCAGAGGGTCATGGGAGCGGGCAGGGTAAGGTAATGGAAATGTGTATGATCAAAATATATTACATATGTATTTGAAGAGGTCATAATGAAGCCATCATGGTGTGCTATCACTACATGCTGGTCTCTGAACTACACCGGTCTCTGCAGTGACCAAGTGTGGCCACTGGGGGCCGCCACAGTCCGGAATGTGCTGTCTGGAGACTGTCACTGCCTTACCTGGGGAAGAAGGTTCTGGAGACAGTGGGATGCCCTTGCCACCTCATCTCATACGCTGCAGACTGAATACATAAAAAAGTTGGTTTTGGTTCAATTCTAGGCCATCTGGAAAGCCACCTCCCAGATCCGAGGAAAACTGGTTTAGCTAAACCTAGACCCCCCCACCCCCACCAGCCAGGCTCTGTATATACAAAGTCCCCACCCTGAGGAGAGGGGCTTACTCTCCCCCAGGGAGGTCCTCAGACCTCTTTATCTGGACCCATGGATCTATGGGCCCTTAATTGAGGACTTCAATGTGGAGGGTGGGAGAAGACCCGTGTGCCAGCTGAAGGGTTCCCAATAGCGCAGGAGAGGATGAGGGGCCTTGTATTCTTGTTCCTGCCTCCCAATACAAGCCTAACCGCCCTTATGACCTTGGTCAGGCCTTGGTGGATACTCTCTGCCAGCCTCCACACATTCAGAAAATCCGGCAGCTAGAAAGAGGCCGTACTGGTAGGTCAAGGTCTTGCTGTCCTAGAAGGTTCCAGCATTGCTGTGACTGTGGGCGGTGACTGAAGCCAGAGCCAAGCAAGCCAGGCCCTCAGGGAAGGCAGATCTGCCCCTACCGACCCTTCTCTTCCTGCCTCACGACTGCTCCCAGTGGCCTCAGCGAGATTTGCAGGCTAAGACGGGCACTGCCAGCAGGGAAGGGAGGGGCCTGCCTCCCGGATGCCAGACCCGCCCACTGTCCCCTCACCTCCAAGTATTTCAGAGCCTTGTCAATGACACTAGGGTCTGAGAAGCAGCCAGTCCAGAGCGGGGTGAGGTTGGAAGGATAAAACTCCAGGTTCTTCTTCCCTTTTTCCCATTTTCGAACCAGGCTCCTTTCTGCTCGTCCCACAGGACGGCCTCCATGCGCTGGGACCGCAAGTTTCTGTATTTTGCGGCCTCGGCGTCATTCCCTGTGTGGCATTGCCTTTAGTCCCCCCGAGCAGGACACTGCCATTGGGCACATAGGGGACCTCCTCTCACCCCAAGGAATTTCTAGGTGAGAAGGAATCACCCACTTCCTGAGGGAGGCTTCCAGGCCGCAGGCAGACCTAGCCAGGGCATCCCTGGGCTATCTGCTGCCCCCTGTGGGTTTAGCCGAGGCGCACTTCAGGCCACGTGTGCCTCCTGTCTATTGACAGTAACTGTCGCAGGAGAGATAGTCAAGCACTCAGCACAATTCTGATGACTTTCTTTTCCCAGAAGTTCTTGCTATGGAGCTGCAGACAAAATCTACTCATTGTCCCTGATTGCTTCCTTTATTGTTTATTATTCTGTGTGCTTGCGTGAGGTGTATGTGCACATGTTGGGGTGAGAGACTATGAACACATGGTACCATGTGAAGGATGGTACCACCTTATACAGTTTCTCATTGATGTGTGATAGATTGGCAGCCAATGAGCTCCAGAGACATCCCCATCTCTGCCTCCCCTCACTAGGGTTATAGGCTCTGGTGACAACGCCTGACTTTTCAATGGGTTCTGGGGATTTAAACTCAGGTCTTCAAACTTGCATGCTTACCCTGGGAACCATCTTCCCAGGCTTTACAGATGCTTGAATTCCCATCATGCCCTACCAGTGCTATAGCTCAATCTTCGAAGCATATCCCTTATAGACCTACTGCTGCCACCCCAGCTCTACCACCTTCCCTCTTCCCTTGAGCCATCTCTGTCAATCGACCTGTTCCTGCTTCTGTCCCAGACACCTGGAACTTTGTGACTCTTAAAAGACACCTCAAGGTCCTTGCCCTTCAGCCTCCTTGCCTGGCTGCTTGCTTAGGAATGGTTCCGTCCACCTCCTCTGAGCTGTGTGCCATCCTGTATAACACCCTCTGCTCACCTCCCCCATGGCCCCCAGCTTCTCCGTCTTCTCAACCGTCTTTACTGTTGTCTTAGGGCTGACGTGGGGAGGGATTGCGAGTATTGTCAGTCCACAGAGTGAGACAAGACAGTGCCCTCCGCTCTGTTTCTGCTGCTAGACGCTGAAGCTCACAGGAAGGTTTGACTCGTCCTATACACAGAGAGCCGCAGCCCCACGGGGTCTTGACATGCCCTAGGTTCCCTCACACACAGGCTAGGAATCGTTCGCTTGAACAATCAAGAGAACAGCCCTGGGAGGTGAGATTAACCGTGCAGACAGAAGACTCTGGCCATGAGAGTGAGCTCTGGCCGGCAGCTCTAGCGCCTTATGTGGCTGTAGGTTGTCCCAAGGTAGAAAGTTTGTTGCCTGAGGGAGGCAACTGTGCAAAAGGAAACAGGCTACCATTTCCTCTTCCAGAGAACAGTCCAAGGTCTGCCATGGAGTCTTGCTTCAGTGGCAACCTGGTGGCAGAAGGGGATGCGTGGCAGAGGGACCTCTTGGCGTTCTGTGTCCTACTCTGTGCTGTTCCTTGGGCAGCAAAGACCCTAATAAGAAAAGGTGCAAGACTTACAGGGCGGGGGTGCAGGAAAGGAAGGGTGGAGGGGGTGTGTGTGTGGCAAGACGCACGGGGCTCGCTTCTCTGCAGTTGAGCTGCCAGCTTGATCCACGCAGTGCCTGCCACCCCCGGCCCCCAGGGCAGAGCCTCCCATTTGGCCGAGGACTCTACTCAAACCACAGCCACCTGTGGATCAAAGAAACCAGCCCTTGCCCACACGGGCAGGTGGGGCAGGGTGTCTCAGGCATCCTTCTTCCTTTCTGCACAGGACAGCAATTTTGCAGAAAGGGAGTGGAGGTTGTGTCTGGCCCCACGCCAGCCAGCTGCAGCTTTCTGCACCGCCTCTGCCTACTCTGCCTGCCCCAACTCTTGTTCGCACCCCAACCACTGTGGCTTCCTGTCCCCGTGGGAACATGGCACAGGGTCAGGAGACCCACCATGCCCAAGTGACTGAGCAGCTCCCTGCTAGACCAAGTATTTCGCCGTCACAGTTCAAGTCAGCCAAGTCAGTGCCACCTGGTGATCTAACTCAAGCCATGCTGCCCTCACGGTCGATTTCTGCCCAACAGGCTGTGCAAGCCCTGAGGTTTACAGTGCTCCTAATCTCTATAAAAGAGAGTTTATTTATTTATGTATTTATTTTTGTTTTTTGAGACAGAGTTTCTCTGTGAAACAGTCCTAGCTCTCCTAGAACTAGCTCTGTAGACCAGGCTAGCTCTGTAGACCAGGCTAGCCTCAGCCTCACAGAGATCCTCCTGCCTCTGCCTCCCAAGTGCTGGGGTTCAAGGCATGCACCGCCACCACCTGACTGAAAGACATTTAAAACCAGAACTAAATCCTAGCAAACCCAATGAGCACTTGGCCATAGCGTAACAGGCTGGGGATCCCTGGTGGGGTGTGTCCCATCTCTGTAGCTCTTTTCATTGTTGTTATCTGTTTTCGGGTAACTTATCTTATTACTTTTGTTTGCTTTGAGTCAGCATGGATCTCACTATTAAGCTCTGCTTGGCCTTGAACTTGCTATATAGACCAAGCTGGCTCTGAACTCACAGAGATCTGCCTGCCTTGGCCTCTGGAGTGCTGGCATTAAAGGCATTTGCCATCAGACCCTGCTGGGTTTTTGCTTTTATTAGGCTTATTTTTGTCAGGTGGTGGTGGCGCACGCCTTTAATCCCAGCATTTGTGAGGCAGAGGCAGGCCGACCTCTGAGTTCAAGACTCTGGTCTACAGAGTGAGTTCCAGGACAGCCAGGGCTACACAGAGAAGCCCTGTCTCAAGAATTAAAAAATAATAATAATGAAATAAAAAGTATTATTTTTATTTGTGTGCATGTGTACGTACACCTGTGGCGGCCAGAGGCATTGAACATCCCTGCAGCTGAGTTACAGGTGCCCTGACTGACAGGTGCTGGCAAGCTCCGGTCCTCTGGAACAGCAGCATGTACGTTTACCACACTATCTCTTTAGCACCATGGTCTCTTTTTTCTTCTTTTCTGGGATAAGTTCTTATAGTCCTGCTAAGAACTAAGTGTTCCAGGTTGGCTCAAGCTCATAGCAATCTTCCTGCTTCCCGTCTCTGTACTGGACACGCGCTTTAACTCATGTTAGACCGAGACTCCTGTTGGATGAGACAAGCCCCTTTGCTGCCTAAGCCAGCGTTTTCTGGATTTCTGTCCAGGCTGCTGGGGAGTGAGTGGCAGCTCAAATGGTGCCTTCTTTGGAGTGGCTCTTGTTCTTTCTTCGTTTCTCTTAAGAAACCCCTATTAGGGGGACTGGAGAGATGGTTCAGTGGTTAAGAGCATTGCCTGCTCTTCCAAAGGTCCTGAGTTCAATTCCCGGCAACCACATGGTGGCTCACAACTACCTGTAATGAGGTCTGGTGCCCTCTTCTGGCCTGCAGACATACACACAGACAGAATGTTGTATACATAATAAATAAATAAATCTTTTAAAAAAACAAAAAGGAATCCCTGTTAGGAAGCTGGTGGTGATGGTAGCAGTGCACGCCTTTAATCCCAGCACTCAAGAGGCAAAGGCAAGCGGAGCTCTGTGAGTTCGAGTCCAGCTTGGTCTACAGAACAAAATTCCAGGATAACCAGGGCTAAGCAGAGAAACCTTGTCTCAAAAACCAAAAACCAAAACAAACAAACAACTTTTCGTCCTTCATCTCCCTATCTCCAGGACGTTTCCAGCCAGGTGCCAATATCCCCACGTCCCCCCCACTCCTGCAGGTGCCAATGTCCCCATGTTCCCCCCACCACCACCAGCCCCTGCACGTACTTAGAAGCCGGAAGTCAGCATCACGTGTCTCCCTCAGTCGCTCTCTACTTCAGTTTTGAGGAAAGTTTCCCACAAAGCCAGGAACTCCCTGATTTGACTAGACTGGCCGGCCAGACATTCCCAATGATGCTGTTGTCTCAGCCTCTCCAGCGCGGCAGCTACAGGCAGAATGCTGGAAACCCAAACCTAGGTCCGCGTGTTTGTGAAGCAAGCGCTCTAGAGCCAGAGCCTCATCCCAGCCCCGGTTTTGGAGCTCTTCAGTATTTTTACCTGGCTGCCTTAACTGAGGCACAGGAAGAATTCAAAATGGCCATTACTGAGAAGATACATACAGATAACATTATACAAACTAAGCAGATTATATATTTATGTATTTAGGAGTGCACACACACAATGCACACACACAATGTACACACACACATACACATATCATGTACATGTAAGTATGTAACAACAATTAATGAAAAAAGGCCACGGATTTGAAAGAGCGGAGAAGGGTATATGAGAGGGTTTAGAGGGAGGAGAAGAAAAGGAAACAAAGCAATGGTATTATAATCTCCAAAAGTAAAAGAGATAATTTTTTTAAAATTATATTTATTTATTATGTATACAATATTCTGTCTGTGTGTATGTCTGCAGGCCAGAAGAGGGCACCAGACCCCATTACAGATGGTTGTGAGCCACCATGTGGTTGCTGGGAATTGAACTCAGGACCTTTGGAAGAGCAGGCATGCTCTTAACCAAAAGAGATAATTTTTAAATTGTTTTTATTGAGCTATATTTTTTTCTGCTCCCCTCTCTCCCCCCCACCCTCTCCCATGTTCCCCATGCCCCCAATTTACTCTAGAGAAGAGAAAAAAATTTTAAAGGCTACGATGTCTACATAGGAATGTGTGAGCCACCTCTCTGGGGCTGGCCTTCCCCACACTTGCCGGGCACCTGTGCACCCAGTCCAGTTACCTGCATTTCATGGCATTCTCAGGCCAAGAGCCTAGTTCTCTGGGGGCTCAGGGGGGGCAGAATGGCAGGACTCCGTTGTCCCAACCCTGGAATGTGACACAGTTAATGCCATGACTGGTGATGACAAGGTGGCTGCTTCAGCAGCCACGTGTCACGCTCTGTCCTGTGTCCTGCTACATGGAGCCAATTAGAAAGTCATTTGAAAACTGAAAATGTCTACCAGGCTGGGTGGTTCAGCCCTGTTTGACAGGAGGGGAAAGGGCCTGTGTAACCACAGGCTGGTCCTGAATAGCAGCTTCCAGCCTGAGGAACTGCAGGCATCCGGTGACGGCCCGCAGAGCGGCGTGACTGCCCCTCGGAGCGCTCATAGGAAGCACACGCCGTTCGTTCTCCTAGAAT